AAAAACAAATATCTATAATTATAACTGCGATATAAATATTATAATAAATATTGTGATTGAGATTTTTAAAATTCCTTAACTTTGCGCGCTTTCGATCACTTGGGTATAATATTAGCAATAAAGTGGTAACATTATATTAAAAAAGTATGCGTGCGCCAAGCAAGCCGCATTGTGATTGGTCTGTGCAGGCCGCTAGGCGCCAAGCGTGCAACACCGATCGTGCGCCACTGAACACTAGTTCGAGAATAACTTGTGAATTTTCTTACGATTGTGATGGAGAATTATGAAGTTTCTTTATGTTCTACTTAAATAATTTTAATCATTGTTAAAGAAACATAAATATGTGCTATTATTAAGTACAACGTGCTCTAATTAATGTAAGTTAACAATTTTGCGTTCATAAACTGCTTGGCCGGGATATTGACGTTTCATGAAGTACCTGTGCCAGAAGAAGCTTCAGTTCAATAGCTTCCATGCATCTTCAGCGTTATTTGTGTATTGCATTGGCTTATGGGCGTGTTGTAGATAGTTGACAATACAAGAAATATTAAATCTGTGCGAAGTGAAACTGTTAGTTGATTCAGTTATTATGTGTTACGTACTGGCGTTGATGTGGCAAACCGGATTGTGCCGAAGCAGAGAAACCGTAAAGTGGTTATAAGGTCAGTATTGTGCTCTGTGGGTTATAAACTATAGGTTTGTGAAATATGAATTATGTATGACATCAATTTCCATGGACGAACATACTCTCTTGTGCACATAATATTTGTGTTAATATTCACTTACCTTCCAATTGAAAAAATCAGGTTTCATCTCTTATTATATTTCTGTAGTTTTAGCAACATTATTGGTATACAATGTACATACATAAATTAATATATGAAAAAAGTGTCCCAGTAATAAATATTGCTATAAATGAGGCAGTGCATATAGCTCTCAAATCTCCTTGCATAATCAATAAGGTAAATAGATTTTAATTCTGCGCTATATACTAATGACATTTACTTAATGAAGGTGGTCCATATAATAAGAAATTTGGTGATAAGTAGGTATCCTTACAAAATTGTAACACTTATCATATCTAGTTCTTCACAAAGTCACAAATTCATTTAAGGGGCAATGTATTTGTATTTTGTAATCTATAATAAGATTCTGGTTGATATTCACCAATTCACGAGGTTTAAAACCCATGTGAAACAAAAACTTTGTATTAAAACTTATATAGTTTGATATGACAAAAATTCATGGTAGTGAGTGAGCCATTTAGCTCTTCCTGGTGGTTATCTATGATAGGTAATGAAACTATTTTTCCAGATTTTAATCATCAATACATGCATATTTGTTTTTTCAAACAAACCTACATCTCGGGCCGTTTACAAGTCCTATGGTCACGGTTTAATTTTCTATGTGTAATTTTTTTTCAAGTGCAATTTGCTTACCTATAAAACAAAGATTATATGAGTTAGAGTTTGGTGTTTCCAGATATTCCTATTTCTGTGAGACATCCCAACTTTCATGGGTTCGGGAATTTATCCCACAACGCTCTGTGTGGGATGGAATTGTTCTGGTGTATGTTGTACAGAGTCAAGACCTCAACTAGTATGACACTTAAGATTTAAATTTCAACTCTAGGACGCTTACAATAAGAGTGTCTAAAATGTCATTCTTGGTGCATTCGTGACTACCATAAGGGTACTAGTTTTACTCAAAATGTGATTGTTTGTAATTATCACTTTTGCACATACAAAATTCATGTATGATTAGTATGATTAACTTTCTTATCAGTCCCTATTTCATGAGTACCACACTCCACTAGTTATGCTAGTAGTTACGCTTCTCTGAATCAGAATTTTAGATATGTTTAATATCTACAACAGTTCTTCAGGAAATTATAAACAATTTTCAAAGACTAACTAGAAGTTTTATGAGACACATATGTTGCATACGTGGCGCAAATTGGGAGATTTTGTAGTAGTAGAGCTCCTTGTGAAAGAGTTTCTCCAGTGTAGTACTGCCACTTCACCTATTTCTGTCAATCAGTAATGTCAGCTTTAGTGTGTTCCGTTGTTGATGGGTAAGGTTGCTGGTGAAATTACAGGCACATGGGACGTGTCAACTTAAGTCCTAGGGTGATGGGAGCAGTGGCAGTGCCCCTCAGATATTTGCGATTTAGAGCTCTCTGAGTGGCACTGCAACTGTTATGGACAGGCGTGTAGCTTACTATCAGACACACAACTTGTTTGTCCCGTCACTAGATATTATTAAAAAAATACGCATGTTATCGACTCACAATAAAACTAAATTAAAAAGATCACAATATTAAATTGGTTTTATGTTTGGTGTTCTTTAATTAAACGAGTTTACCTAGAATAAAATACAAACGGTACTCTAATTTATATCATTAACCTATGTTGCACAGGCCTTGCTAATGGCGTAGTCCGCCATAATTTTTATATTATTCTTACAAAACTACTGTACATAGTCATTTTAGTTGACATTGGCGAAATCATCGATTATTTCGATGGGGCTATAACATTTAAAACAAGAAGAACATATGTTGTAGAACATAGTTGAAGTTAATTATTTTTGTAAATAAAACCTCACACAAATTTTACACAGTGGTATATTAACTACATTCATTTACTTGTGCCATACATCTTGAATTAAACAGAGTATTTAGTTCTTTTCTTATACATTTTAAGTTATATAATGTGTTATTATTGAAATCTGACAACAAGAAACCATTTTCAACATATCAACTTTGAATTGCAACCATTGTTGAAGTAGAGTTAGTCAGCTCATATGGTTATTATACCTTAATATCTCTACTCCCTTTAAATCTCGTTTTACATATAAAATTGTCATCGACGACGCAGCCCTCGCGTAGAGAGTGCCCGATCGTGAGAGGTTCGTGTCGTGTCTAAGTGGGGAGCCGTGCCCGCCGATTCACCCTTGTAACCATTAACAACCCTCCAGTTGATTTATGATGACTGCACTCGTTTCGAATTTAACATCAGCTTTGACGGAGTACTGCTTACAAAGTTCTCATACTCTCATTTTTTCCTTAGTGTTGATAGTTTGATACGAAACTAGCCATTTAGAAAGTGCTATTTCGCGAATAATAGAGCCGTGGTAGCCTAATGGTTCGAACTTCCTATTCTCAAGGAGAGGCCGTGCGTTAGAATCCAGGCCCGCACGCTAAGTTTCTCGGAATTTATTGTTAAATTTAATCTACCATGAGCTTTTTAGTGAAGGAAAACATCGTGATGAAACCTTCGGAAAACGTATGAAGTACCCAAACCGCATTGGGCCAGTGCATATGGCTTGAACCCTCGCCTGAGAGTAGTAGTAGACGTATGAATGGGTTGATGATGATGATCTCGCCAATCACACAATTCACTATTTATAAGTGTATATCTATTATTTGCCTTGTCTCACAATCAATCACTATGATATTAATGTTAGGTATCTCTTTACCTTTACTGGCATGTGTACATAATAATCTAAGTAAAACATATCAGAACCGCTTTATTTTTTGTTTGTTCTATTGTGCAAGTGCACTATACAATACCTTTTATTTAATAAATTGAAACATGTCAATAACTTTCTATACTAGTTGTGTATGACAGTAAAGATCAAAACAAAAATATAGAACCATTATTAAATTTTTTTCATATTTTGCGAAAAAAAAAACAATTGTGACTTGACTTTGGATTGGATTTGAAGTGCCCTACGGCAGCCATAGCGGCGTCATCAAGTATGTTCCACTGATATGCTTCATTGGCTCAATTTATATTGCGGCATAACGAAATGGAAGCAAATTTTTGTAATGATATCACAAATTTGATAATTTTTTGATCTGTGAAGTTTTCAATCTTTGATTGTTTTTTAATTATATATTTTTTTATTTTGTCAAATTTACAGTATTTGATAATTTTTTAATTTGTGAAGTTTACAATGTTTGATTGTTCTTTTAATCACATTTTTTTATTTTGTCAAGTTTACAAATTTTTATTATTTTGGTAATTTTTTAATTTCGATTTGTCAAGTTAACAATATTTGAATATTTTTGAAAATTGTTTAATTTCAACTGGTCAAGTTTACATTTTTAATTTTTTTTTATTTTAAGTTGTCAAGCTTACAAATTATGATTTTTTTTAAATTATTTTAATTTTATTTTCTCAAGTCTACTTACTATGTTTAATGACTTTTTTATTTTAGTTTTATTTTGTCGTCTACAATGTTTGATTCATTGTTATTATTCTTTAATTTTACTTTGTCAAGTTTACAATTTTTTTATTTTCATTTGTTAAGTTTATGTTAAATATTATATGAATAAGTTATATTTTACTCTACCGTACATGAAATAAAAACTTTTTCGGGATAGAAATAGAACAAAGTCAATATAACTACTGGGAACTGATTTTTCCCACTAGTTCTATTATTTATTGCAATAGAACTTAATAGAACTAATGGGAAAAAAGTCCCAGTAGTTCTATAATAGAACTGCTCAATAGAACAAATGGGAATGAACGAAACTTACGCTGCTTTTTCTTATCGTCGGTTACCGTTTCGTTGTACCCATATAGCTGAAACTTTTTTGAATCCCAATAAACTTGTTAAAATGGATTCAATGCAAATATAATCTTTAGGATCCCAGCTTAATGTTATATGTTTATAGTTCCGTCTTAAAATTCAACTTTTTTACCTTTTTGAAGTTTTCATACGTGGTGGAGGTTGGAGGCCGCCTAGAACGAAGTTCATCTTCTTCACTGCATCTTTTAATCGACATACCCACATAACCATAAAGGATTAAACTTTTTCCCCTGCTGCTTGTTATACATCCAAAACATTTCTTTGGTGGACATATTTTCTCACTGTACGTAATTCGCATTTTCTATATTTCAGCATTTTCAACCATTTTTTGTACAAAATAATTAATTATTAACAAACAGTTCCATTAAATCCAATGAAACTCGACAAAAATATTTTGTGATTACTTTTTACAATGATTTTTAAACTACCTCCTTGCGTATTATATTAATATGTGCTAGTAAATACTTTTTGATTAATTTAGTGTTAAATAGAATAACTGCCTTAGTAAAGGAACCTAAGCTAAGACCTTTGTGCCTTCGCTACAATTGTAATGTGAGTAACGCGAATAATAGAGTACATAACAAGGTCTGACCGGCCTTGGTCAGAGGCAGCTTGCTCTCAGGCAGTGTGCGGTAGTGCCGCGAGGAACTGTGGCGGTCACCTGTAACCCAAGTCGGTTGTTCCAGATGGGCGAGCGCGCGCGGCTAGCGGGCGGCGCGCTGGCGGCGTCGAGTGATAAACGCTGCTCGACGCTTGCTCTCAACAAGCTCTCGTTTGTCCAGTACGTATACTTTCTAACACTTCGTTGTAATAATATGTGTATATTGCCCTTCTCTTATATTTTAGGCTAATTTACGAAAGTGCATAATTAATTAACTAAAAAAAATGCTATTATAATACTGACTTAAAATGTTTAATACGGCATCATTATGCAGGATCGACGCAGTTGGGGGGTAGCAAGTTGTTAGGATATCCGTCGGTGTCCACACAGTAGGAAATGTCACCAACATTTTGGTGTGGTCGATAGTTGCCGTTGCCTTGGCAGACATGAGTCATGGACATTCCACGCGCAGGGAAATGGATCATGGTGTCTTGAGCACAGTCTGTAAAAAAACAGTATTAGAAAGAATCTTGTAACAGTCAACACCACTGCTAAAAAACGTTATATATTATTCATGTTGTTTAAGTTCTTGTCCCCAATGCAGCCTATCTCGTGTAGTTTCCAGGTGGTTTCCAGTGGCAGCAGCATTGTAATGACATTTGGTTGAATTTATTTGAAACAAAGTGTTGACATATAAAATTTTTCGCTCTTACTTTTTTAAAGGATAACATTTTTTAAATAACGCCAAAAGTTACGTGAATCGTACCGTCCCACACGTAACCAAATTTGGTCAGAAAGCCTTTTCGCCCGCCCACGTAACTCTATGGGGCCACAGTTCTGACCACGGTCATCTTTGTCAGCAACGTACCAGTATTCATTTAAAAAAATCTTTTAGTATTATTACGCACTTCAAATGGTTAACACTATATCCGATTAATTAAGTATTAGTACGAAAAAAATTACATTGTTGTGGTATTGTAATTTAGGATTGGAATTTTTGATTCTTTGCTTTCCCTCTATTTCATCATCAGTAAGGCCTAATAATTCGGGCCGCATTTAAACTGCAGCCAAATAACAGGTGGAATGTAGTCGGAAATTACTTTGAATACTATAGGTGCAATTTCCGACTGCTGGCGTAGTCTCATAGCAGTTCCGATTCAGTCAGCGCGACTGCACCCTAACTTTACACTATAGATTGTAAGACTTTTGTTAGGCTATTCACTAAATGAGTATCACAAGAGGTACCTTCTCAAGCTATAGCTTTTTAACCGCCTTCAAAAAAGGAGGAAGTTCTCAATTCGATTGTTTTTTTTTTGTGTATGTTACGCGATTACTCACTGGTATTTGTGAACTGATTTTGATATTCTTTTTTTGTTGGGTAAAGAGGGTACCTCACTTTGGGTCCCATTTAAATTTTAAGAAAATAACCCACCTCAAAGAGTGGCAATACTTTGGGGAGGAATCCGGTTTCGCGCACTTTCCAAGGCAAATACCTAGATTTATTTCCACTTTTGAGGTCGTTTTTTTATAAAATAGTTATAATTATTGTTTTCCAAATATTCCATAGTTCTTTCACGCTCCATGATACAGGTTTACTGTGAAGCAGCAGTTGATAGCTTTATAAACAGATATGTATCGGCATATCCTTTTTTGCTGTTGATGAATACCTTCATCTCGACTTCTTGTGGAGTTATCAGTGTTGTTCACTTTTTTCTTGTACATCACCCTTACTGATAGTACATGCGAAACTGAAGTCGGAGTAATTTTATTTTCAATATATAACACAAAACACCGGATTCCACAAAATTCTGTTTAAACCCACCATCGTCATTATGATGAAACGTTTGGCACTTAGTGATCTCGATGGTTTCTTGTAACCTAACATGAAACTAACCTAACCTAACATGAAACGTAGTAGCATCTTGTAACCTAACCTAATATGAAACGTAGTAGCATTCTGTCTTCAGTACTATGGCTGTATTCCGCCCGCCATTGTTTTCACAGCTCAGAAGTATTCATACGGTCTACAATTGTCCGTTCCGATTTGGTCAGGACGTTTAGTTTGTAGATAACCTGTGCTTGAAGAGTAAGATGACCTACACACGTGTCGATAAGTCTGTCCTTAAAGTTATCAACTGCCGCTTGCCTATCATCTGTAGGGCTAGCACGATAGGGCGCGACTAGCGCGAGAGCGACATAAAGCGCGTGATACTGCTGTTGTCGTATAGACATCTCGCGCATTGTGTCGCTCTCGCGCAAGTCGCGCTTGTTCGTGCTAGCTCTACTGGTGACAATAGAGCGTAAAATCACTCAACAATACCGGGAGAAGAATAATATAACACACTCAGTCCCGCGTTAGGGAAACCCTGTATCGCGGGTGCCTTGGCCACACATATAGGCAACCAAAAATTACACCCATACTCACGAGAGAAATAAATGTAGGCCTTACAAATATTTCTCCCGGCCTGGAACCCGGGACTTTTACGTGGCAGTCCAGGATGGTAACAATGCGGCCACGGAGGCAGGATTATGTATTGTCTGTTTCAATCCATTTGAAACAAAAGGTAAATATAAGTGTTTGGTTAAAGTTCTAAAGCAATCACTCAATAAATGGAATAAGTAACAGTTTCACGTATATTTCGACGTGATATCCCATCACTTTTTTAACCGACTTTAAAAAAGGAGGAGGTTCTCGATTCGACTGATGTTTTTTTGTATTTATGTTACGCGATAACTCTGTTTTTTCGGTTCGGTTCACAAAAACGTTAATCGATTTTGATGATTCTTTTTTTTTGTTGGAAAGAGGGTAAACCTCAGATGAAAATTTGAAGAAAATATTCCACCTCTAAGGGTGGCAAACAAGGGGATGAATGATTTTTGACCGCTAGTATGACTCAATAACACAAATAGATTAATTCAATTAATTAATCGATTTGCATTACAATTGGCCATCACTAAACCGTCTATGGTCGGGTCAGTGACTTGTTTGTTTATTTTTTGTTTAAATTGGATTGAAACGAAGTATACATAGGCTAAGAAACTTGTAAGTAGTGAGAATCGTTTGCACGTTGACAGCGCACCAATTGTTATTTGACAGTTGCCCCAGAGCAAAACGTAAGTGCTTTAGACAATATTTTACAGGAGAGCCAAAAAACACAAGTCATGGTTGCCCTTAATCAATTTTCCTTTTTATTTAAAAAAAAGTAATAGTATTAAATAGGGTACCAATCAACGAATATATTGATGTCACAAAAATTATTTCAACTTTTTTTTATTAACCTATAGTATCCCACTGCCGGACACAGGTTTCCCCCAAAATCCCCCACTTCGTCTTTGGCGATCTCCCACCACTCCCTCTCAATCCCATCAAAATTGTGCCGCCAACGCCTTCTGGACCATCCCCGCCGTCGCCTTACAACCTCGGGTACCCAAGGAGTGATGACGTTCGCCCACTTCTCGGGTTGCATCCTGCTAACGTGGCCCAATCCCATTTGAGCCTGGCTGTTTTGCTCCATCAGCAATGCCAGTCATCGAATGCAGCATTGTATTGATCACTCTGTTAATACGTTTAAAGCGCAGAATACGGCTTTCCATTGCCCTCTGGCAGATCTTGACTTTAGATTTTTGGAAATCGGTCAGCAACTATGTTTACGCACCGTAGGTTAGAAGGGCAGGATGCACATATCGATGAGTTGGTGCTTAAATGACATAGGGAGGTTACCCGTCAAGACCTCCTTCAAGGACCAGTAGCTCAGGCGCTTTCTATGCGACGACCGTTTTCGTTGTCGTCCCTGCTTTCGGAGCTTGCTAACTGGCGCAGGTTAGCAATAGTTTTGAGTTGATCAAAGAGGTTTTTGACTAGTCACGAAGCGCTATTACTAGGTTTTAAGGTTTCTAAATCTCTGGTAAATTGTAGGACTTTGCAGTGGCTGTCACGGCAATGTGGTAAGTAATTAATCAGGGAGTAGGATTCTGTTAAAAATTATTTCCAAAAAATTTGGCCCATTACTAGGTTTTGCTCTGTTGCAGCCGAGTTGTGAAGCAATCTTAATGTAGCCCGTGTGACTAGGCCGAAAAGGTTAGTAGTGTCGCCAGGTGTGATGTATCGAAATGCGAGGCAGAGGGGTAAAATAAGGGTTTCTCGGGCCTCAAACGAAGATTACAATAACACTAACGGTATATTTTGTCTCATTACTACGTTTAAGTTTAGGTTATAAAGGTTTAAGTCAATAATCAGGCCTTCCAGGCTTAGGTAATCATGGTAATCATGGCGTAATTGTCTGATGTGATATGAATATACCCCTTTAGTATATTAAAAAAACAACAATGAACACTCGGATATAGGTGTCCCGAATAGTGGAGGCAGGGTTGGTCTTATTACTTGTGTTGAATCTGTGGTATCCCACGGGGCCCACAACACCTGGCCAAGAGGGTAAACCCCCCCGGCTGTTTTAGTGCTTATGCCCTCCACGTGGAGGTTAGTCCCATATAACCCTCGAGTATCCCCGGGCTCGAGGGTATGCATAAAGAATTTCCCCCGTAAGCAAAAAAAAGGGGTTAGACTTATTACCTGAGAATTAGAACCATCTACCCATTTGGGTGTCCTGGCAACACTACTAAAGGCATAACTACATAACATAACAAAACCCTTCGGTATCACGTAGAAGTATGGGTTTATCAGAACAATATCTTCCGTTTAGTAGAAAATCAAATGAATTTGAAAAATGTTGCGGTCAAGTGTCGCGATCTCCGCATTCCAACGAACGATCTCGTGTGGCAGCAGCGGTGGCGGGATGGAATTGTGCTACATATCGGGAACAGGGTCACGGCCGCCAACCGGTTGTCGCCCGTAGGCACCTAGAGTCGGCCGCCGCCGTCGCAGCCGCCGCCGCCGTCGCAGCCGCCGCCGCTCCACAATGCGAAAATATGCCTTGCTAACGGTACGCCAAAGCCCCCAACTACTTATCTCGCATTAATACCCGTAATAAAATACCGTATTATTGTTGCCTATGTGTACGACTTATATGCAAATAGAAAATGATATTACTCAGTGTTACTAACGAAGTAACACAAAACATTGTGCCAGTTTTATTTGTGCGATCTGATGCTCGTTAGTTTCGGATGTGGTTAGTCGTTAATCTAAAGAGAATGCTGGTAGGTTTATTAGGTGTACTTACTGCAATTCATGCCCTCCATTTCGCTTGTGATGGTTTGCCAAGCTCCAAGAATCTTTCCGTCGCGGCCGGTGCAATATGCACTGGAATAATAATATTAACGCAATAACGTAACCCGATACGTCTCCAATTCTATTTCATACGCAAATAATGTAACAGCTGAGTTACAATAATTTCTCGGTTGTCGGTGTGTGTGCTGAACAAATGCATCTAATGATAGATAGATATGCGCTTTCAGAATATGGTATCGAAATACTTAAATTATAACACACTCTTTATTAATACGTAATCTAATAAATAAATCTAATTATTTCTTTACTGCACACCAATAATGTAAACATCCTCGATAGAGACATCACCTAAGCAACCTTAATGTATTGGAGCGCCAAAAATACTATTATATATTTATTTACGCATATAATTTTGAAATTTTATTTTCATGAGGTTCATATACATGTATGTATGTTAACCACATAAAAATAAACAATAATAATAAAAAAAAAACTTTTGTTCACAACGAAATCGGAATGAACCAAATTTGCCGATACATACTGTAATACAAACAAAGGTTGCGACCGACTCCAGATTAGTTCTAGCGCTTCTTTAACTCAGACATACTGTTAACAAAGCCTGGATTAAACAAAATTTATTTCAAAGAAAATTTATAAGCGCCGGTAAAGAAATCCTATCTTTAGATATAGCCCCATATCTTTCTTCATTAGTTTTGATTATAATGATTCTCCGTACCGATCCTTAAGGTTTACGAGAACGGCACTATGACCTGCGAGCACGCCCGCGCAGGGACCATTTAAGTCAGGTCCTACCCCAGACGGTTTGACCGCTTTGCCTTAGGTGAGCCGCCCCGGGTGCACGCACAGCACCCTTCCTATTTTCCAGATAAGTACCGGAGCTGTAGACACGCTCACTTCTCGTTAGCGCGACTAACGGTTGCCACCGCTGAGCCGTCGACTCTAAGTCGACTACCAAAGCTCTTTGGTGGCGGATCTGTAAGGCATATCTTTAGATACGTCTGATTGTGTCTTACACGCTGACTTATAGTTATAACATCAGTAGTACTTACATGCCGTTTTGAATTTGTAAAGGTCCGTAACTGCCGTCATAGTCACAAAATGTCACAGGGTTGCCGAGGAAGTTAGTGCCATGACTTTTGTGTTCCATGTGTATCATTCCAAACGCAATCGTTAAACTTTCACATTGCCTGAGATATTGTTCGCCTACTTCTGCTGCTCGGACTGTAGAAGTTGTTAATTTTTTCCTTATTATTTACACATTGTGCCAAATTCCAAATCTACCCAAAATCTATAAACATTTAATACCTATCGCTAAAATGCAGCATACAAGTTTTATGAAACTTTTTTAAATTTCGATATTTTTCAATTTCCTAAAAAAATCTTGCGTTAACTGTTCATCGATTTGTATGGTAAGTAAAATAAAAACAATTCTTTGAAGATGAACCGTATGGAACTGCAAATTGACACATGACAAGTTCATAAAATTGGAATGCTTGATGCCAATACATTTAAAGTTTCATCATATCAGAAACGTAGCTAATGGCGATCCTTACTTTCTGCTAACCCCATTGAGAGAAAGGCGTGTTAGTATTTGAATGTTATTTGTACTTACACAATTTAAAACTGACCACGAGATAATGTATAACAAATAATAAAAATAAACACTACCTACAATGGATGTACATTTGATAAGAGTTCACTTGCCTGCTGGTAATTTACGAGCCCTTCGCTATTCCTATTAACGAAAATTAATTATTTAAATCAAAATATAAAACACGAAATTCTCAACGACCGGCGCGGGCGACCTATACAGGATGTAATTGTTAAGTGTGTCCAGGTACCGTACATATTAGATATATGAAAAACTCTTTAAACTAATATCGAAAGTACGCTACCTAATGAGTAAAATAACAAAAAACAATGACATTAATAACTTTTTAAAAATAAAACTAAAAATATTCAAAATTGTTATGTTAAACGCTTCCATATATTTAATATGACATTCGTGGCGAGGCTTTGGTTTCCCTTTTTACTTTCGATATAGGTTTTTGATGTCTCTTATATTTACGAAATAATCGTCTGGGGACACTTAACGGTTGCACCCTGTATAAATAACCATATGAAAATTGTAAGTTACGTTTGCTCGTGCTAAAGGGGACATACAACCATTGCGTATATTTTAGGAAGGTATATTGTACGGACAGGTAACATACATAATTCTTATGTCTTTCACATTCAGACACAATACTCACGTGCTTGAAACAATTTTTAAATGTATTCTATTCTGTTTGAACAAGTGCGCTATTTACATTTACAGTTCTTTGTCATGTGGTCATCCCGCGGCCGTGAATCACTTGTGTAGCAACGGGTTTAAACATCTCAGAATTATTGAGGACAATATTTCGCGTACTATAAAAAGCTTATCTATTTGATTTCGAGATAACCTTGTTGTTGCGTTGACCTAATTATGAAATGGAATAACTTTTATATTCAGCACCACAAAGTAACAGACAATTACTATCACTTTTTAAAATACAAAATAGTATATGCGCCGTTTGTAGGTGACCTAATTAAAGTTAAGTGCGCCTCGACCACCAGAGACGACTGCACTTACAACATGGTAGTAAGTTCATATCCTGTTCTGGCACCGGGATAATAGTAGGTTGACCAGTTTTGGGTTCCGCACACCAACACAACCCGTCGTCGCATTGCAATGGTTCGTAACTTCCATTTGGCGTGCAGTGCAGACTTACATCTACCCTGCCCTCGGCTTCCAGTTGTGATCTTCTTCGGCTGCATGCTAGAAGTGGTGTTTTATTTTATACGAATAAAACAGTAAAAAACAAAGCTGATAGGAAGTGATTATTACCGATATAGGTAACAATAATGTGCCAGACAACCACACCAATTACCTGGTGTCAAAATAGGAAATTCCCTATACTATGAGTACTAAAACAAACGTAATTCACTTTCCAGAACACCCAGCCCTGAACCAATTTTTTTTTTAAACATCAAGTGCCGGGACGAACAGGTCGTGCGCCTGACGGTAAGCTACACGCCTGTCCATAACAGTTACAGTGCCACTCAGAGCTTTAAATTGCAAAGATGTGAGGATCACTACCATTGCGCCCGTCACCCTGAGACATAAGTTGACAAGTCTCATGTGTCTATAATTTCACCAGCACCCTTACCCTTCAAAACCGGAACACAGTAATGCTGACATTACTACTTGGCGGCAGAAATAGGTAAGGTGGCAGTAGTACCCTGGACGATCTCTTTCACTAGGAGCTCTACTGCTTCTAAAAAAAGTTTTAGAAAAGTTCATATTCAATTTGGTCCTACCGGGAATCGAACTCGCGACCTCCCATCCTGCGCCCATAGTTTCCAAACCGTTGGACCACCAGTGTAGTCAATGTATATGTGGTACACTCGGGGAAGTAAAATTTTACAGTTTTACAGGCTGTCTGACATAAGTCTTTATCTACTTAAAGCTCTCCTTTACGTTTAATCTTGTACACAGCAGTTTGCTGATTTGCGGTATAAATAAGTAAGGTTATGGTATCTATCCAGGCGGATTCTGCACAGAGAATACTACCACGAATAAAAATTATAGACTTGCTATATGTCTATCTGTAGCATAGGAGACTCTTCATGCGACAGCCAGAAGGGATTAATGTTATAGAAAATTTGTATTTACCGACTTAGTCATAAGGTTACAATTGTTACTAACACGATGTGGAGATAATCCGAAATAAACTATTATTATTGTTATTATAACACTGGCTATGTGCTGACAACGGGCACGAACACAAACTAAACCTAATTTTATTTGTTTGCCGTTAATTACTAATTAGTTCATTACGTACTGTTTTGGTCCTATTAAAATATGATTGCAACCACGTTTCAACTTAGTAGTAAACTTCTTGTCAACATTTCGCCACAGTAAGTATAGACTAAAATCACTCTAAAAATCATGATTTTAAAACTCTTTTAAACGTGCTGGCAAAATGATTTCCATTTGATTTTCATTTATTTGTCTTTTCACAGTCAATGAAAATATTTTGACTTGATTTTGACATTGGATATCACTGCTTAGTGAAAATTATTGTTTCTTTTGCCTATGCAAGTCTCTGTCGGCATATTTTCTTTGTTGTTTTAATTTGGAACTACGTTAAATTATTCAGAGAACAGTCTAACTAATGGTTTAACAAATATTTCTGTACCGTCAAGAATCAGTGAAACTTAAAATATGTTGTCATCACTACCATTCTAGGTTTTGGATTAGAAACTTAATTTGTGCTAACAAGACTAAATCCTTCTAACAAAATGTCTTCCTACCAGGTAAGATTACTAAGAAAAATGTTTTCAGTACATTTATAAGTACAGTTACGAACGCCTACGATGAAGAAGAGCGTCGTAGAACGTGTACATGAGACAAGTTTCATAATACTCGTCGAAGACATGTGAAGCCCGTGTGAAGACTGTATTCGTAAACTCTTTCCTTAAAAGGAAAGCCTTTTCAATAGTGGGTCGTTTATGGTTTTATACAATAAGTAATGGACAGCTACTTTACCACAAGTCATTTCATCCGCCTCATCTCTCCACATTTGTCCAAATATTCTGTTTCCTCTCTCATCAGAACAGAAACATCTGTGTAATAAGCAAACAATCATAAATTACATTCTTGCTAGTATTAGTAGTAGGTGCATTGTGAACCACAAACCTACTCAAACTTTTCGAATTATAAACAGATTAATGTTACACAGCGAACGAAAGTTATACGAGTTAGTAAGTAATGCTTTCTCTTATATCTGGATTATGCTAAATATTAGTCGCTAGACTGTATTCAATTCAATTGCATGGACTAAATGTTGCATATAGAAAGGCTGGAGCAAAATACCTGCCAGTAAAGCGATCTCCCTTGCATTGCACAGGTGCAAATCTACCGTCTGGTAAACAGTTCGCTGGAGGTCGGCACTCTCCAACTGGAACATTATCTGAAACATAGATTATAAAAAAAGATTTTCTGAATTTTTAACAACTACCTCTAGACCGAAATGTGTGAAGAGCTCGGAAGAGGTCTTATGACTTGCATATTACCTACTATAAAATGTTATTACTCAGCTAATAGCTAAAACGAATGCACAGAACGGTGTCGTAATGTATTCATTTGTGCGTACTAATTAATATCGCCCAGCACACATCCGGTATTGGCTAAATCTGTAAAACCGGAACTACGCTACCGACAAGATATTTGTATCACATCGATGTCCGCAATACGTTCAGCTTGAACGCTTCCGATACGCGTTCAACAATGAACTTTTTGCACGCGTTTTCGAATTAATCATAATATTTACGAATTGATTGCGTGATTTAATTAATTATAATGGAAATTGGACTTCAAAAGTGCATGGTCATTCCTAATCTAAAGAGATTCTATCTTACTCAATAGTGTATGAATATTTTACGATAAAAGTTTGTTGTACGTAATGGAAATGAGTGACGCCAAAAAGAAATATTTTGAAATAGTACTTAAAGTTGATACTTATCAGTTGGATATGTCCATGCAATTTTGCAGTCATGAGCACGTACCTAGTTTGTCAGAAAGTTAACTTTTAACTACTCGTATACTAAAGTTTAAAGTGCAAGTATTATTAGTCGATCAAGTCTGTTTCACTACTTACATAATTAATTGTACGGGATTACTGGTAATTCGAAAATTTGTGAAGGTTAAGTCCATTTGCAAATAAATTTAGCGTTACAGCGATGAATTATGTGGAATTATGGACGATTATACCACTTATTCTAATTAATATATTTTCGAAAATTCAGGATTTGATTTTATAATATTGGATCTTACGCAATGTTTTGCTTACGGTATAATGTTCGAACAACAATAGCGCATATTTTAATACAAAAATATAACTCGTAAATATTTTATGAAATATAACCGGAGAATTTCTCCAAGATAATAGGCCTGGTTCCCGGAGCCTGTGGTCGACGTTCCTAATGAGTGCACTACCTATTCTTGGTAACTTCCAGTAGGTTAGTGCAAGAGTGCGAAATTTCATACTGTGATACTTTATATACTTAATGGCAGTTTAGTTGTTTTTAAGTGTCTTTGAAATAGTGAAATAATAGTATACCCTCAACCACTTAGCATCATTGATAAAAGAATAAATATATATTTGTAATGATTAGCAAATTAGCTTGGATAATGATATCAAGTAAAATAATACACGCAGACGGATAAGTACAAAGAAATTTTTCAATATCACTTATTTTTAGACATTAAACGTAGCTACCTTCATCAGTTCCGACGTCCGTACCAATGGCACATCCCGGACAACACCCGCCCATAGTCATGTTCGGAGCCACAACGCGTCCGGGACCGCAGTCCTCGTTCGTCAAGTCAAAAACACATACATGGGCTAGTTTACATCCTGATTCTGAACTTAAAGTACCGCTGGAGCACACAAATAACAATAATAAGAAAAGAAACATTTTCCAATGACACGCCACTAAAGAATGGATTTATTGAACCACAGGAAATAATGTTAACGATTAATTAGAACCGATTGTGTTCTTATCTAGGCTATCGAAGGTTGTTTAGTGATGTTTTGTTCAATGTAATGTGTTCTGGGTTACTACCACTGGCCGGAGCGAATTCCGTTGCTCTGGTACTCACAGAGAATTCCCTCGTTTGAGTCCAAGTAATGGTGTGGTTGTCTGGCTCATTATTATTACTATTATTATTTGTTTTAAGCTACGTTTGCCATACTGCCTTTATAAGGACTTAAAGCAATCCTTTGATAATTTGGAACTAGTAGCATAACGACACAATTAATAAAAAGTTGAATGTAATTTATGTTACCGATATATAAACCATAATTAATATAAGTGTCTATTAGTAATCTGAATTTCCGTGATAAAAAGAAAAAGGAATTGGTACTAAAATGTATATATATGGATCTTCGTATATGGATTTTTGAAATTGTGGCAACACTATTCCTTATCGGGTGGTTTTGGAGAATATTATCAATCCAAGAATTTATTATCAATTCTTATCAAACTTACTTTATCATACAATTGTTATATATTTGTATTTTAATGTATTAAACTCATTAGACTTTGTAGGAATAAACAATGTAAACCTAACGTTCGTTTCGTACCGTTTGTTTTCATTATTTATTCAAATATGTCGAAGAAAGCAAAGATTTACTTACTCGGGCGTGGTATTAAAAAAAGAAACAGGCTTAAACTACGCAAGCTATACTGGATTGTCATGACCGTAAGTTTCTCTGTTGCTCGTATGTGTATTACACACCTAATGTAGTAGCTGAAAGTCGTGTCGTATGCAGAATAGCTTGCAAATCGTACTGTCTATGAAATATATGCAGGACCTAACTAATATGCAAATTACCGTGGCATGACAACAAAAAAATTAATACAATGTATGTTGTCAACGCAAGAAGTTCAAATAATAATGTTCTTATCAGCATTATCGCTATCTGAAGTTAAATTACGCCGAGAACAATCGGGCAAGGTGAGGCGCGCGCGCAGTGCCACCGGTGTCCGGCGTGAACAGTCACGGCTTAAGCGCACAAAAACTGCGCTCGGTGTATGTTTTTATTTATCACACACTAACACTGTGATATCACTGTCTTATCTCTCTACCTATTATCAATGTATCTCTCTCAGCCGCCATGCCCTGTTTTTGTTTTGTACTCTACATTTATCTGTTTACATTGAAATTGTTTTTTAATTTCTTTCCAGATCGGATTAAAGCGGGCTTACCCGGCTAGTATGGAGGAGAGTAAGAAGAGGGCACAAGTTGGCACAAAAGTTTCTAAAATTGCGAATATTTTCCAAGGAATGCCATCGAGAGACGAAGACGATATGCGTGGAAGCGACGTCACAGTTGTTAGAACTGAGAGCCACTTGGCGCGTTTCAATAATGCCCGCGCTCTCTTCGAAAAATTGGGAGAAGAGAACAGGGCGTTTCGTATCGAAAAATCCCCGTCGGCGGCTGCTAGCTTTGCTGGCACTCGTGGGTTCCCACCAGTAGTGCCGGCACGATCGCGCTCTAGCTCCGCAGGCTCTGTTAGTCCCCCGCGGCGAACTATCACTCCGCCTGCATCAGCTTCCGCTGTCAATGGTAGCGACCGTCTTTCCAATGGCGCATCGCAGCAACCGCCAAAGCCTGCGAAACCAGTGGTTTTGCCCAAACCTGATAAACCGGACAGACGGTTTAACAAAGAACTTATTGAAAAGCAAAGAAATTGGACTGCACATTTTAACAAAACAAAATCTTCCCGACATGATCACGAAAACAAAGTGGAAAAGCACCACATTGGTTATCATGACAGAAAATCGCCCGAGGTTACTGAAAGATATGTTGTTCCGTCACGGGTATATTCACCGCCTTTATCGCCGTGTGCCGGTGATACTCAGGTGGAGCGTCCTAGTACACTTCCTAGCACGTTCATAAGTCGAAGCACACCTGACACGAAATCACCTAGTCCTATTAAAACTGTTCCTTCTGTAACGCCTACTAGATCTAACAATTTTGTATCGTCTGCGAAATCAGACACTGTGACACCTATAAGAAGTGACAAAATAATTTCTCCCACGAATACTAGCGATCATAGATATTTCCCGCGCCCTGAATCGACAAATAGAGTTTTTCCACGGTCACGATCTATTGTTTCTCCAGAAAAAGAAGACGATAAAGACTGCTATCGTGAAAAAGATGGTTTGTTTTCCCCCATTAAGACTGATTCTTCTGTTGTGACTTCGAAGTCTTATGAGCAGGTTTCATCTCCATTACTAACTTCATCGAAACCTGTTATTGAGCCAGCATCCTTGCCTCGCCATCAAAAGTCTCCACCAACACCAACTCCGAGATCACCGAGAACACCGCCACCGATAACTCAAGAAGAAAATAATATTTGCGCCGAACTGCTGCAAACATCTGTACAGGAAGACCTGAGTAGCCCATTAGAAAACAAAACTATAGATTGCCTACCAAGTGGTGATCAGTCGGGAATGAAAATAGAATCACAGCCTGCATTGGCTCGACCACTACCTCCTGTACCCGTACAAAATGTTAATGATCATTGGTTGCAAGAAGAACACGAAACATCACGTAGCCCAGAGCCGTACGAAATAGTGATGAGTTCTCCAAATCCTGTAACTACGAGTACAGACGATGATTATGAGCCAGTGCAGTTTGTTACTAATGTTGACGAGAAGAATAAAGGACGTTCATCTACTCCCAAGTCGCCGGAATGTACAGCGATCGCGGAGGAAGCGACTCCTTCCCAGCTTGCCTCTCCCCTCGCCTCGCCTGTACACCACTTGTCATCCTCATCACCAGCGGCAGCTTCACCATCTCCCGGTAAGTGTTTAATTAACTTTCCACCATCTGTTTTCTTATGACGATTACGCATAACGATGTCAAAATAAGTAAATACAAGGAATTTAAATTAATAGAAAGACACGGTTTTTTAAATACAATTAAAATACTATTTTCCAAAAACCTACATAAGTTTTTCTATCTTATTTTTATCTCAGTTGCGTTTGTATACTTATCAGTTCCAAGATGTTATTACGGTATTGATAACTAGCAAAACAACAAGAAACAGCCTGAGCATTAGATTTATACGATACAGCTACTCTTTATTGCACAAGCAAATACAAATACAAACAAACAAAATACAAAAACTGAGTACAAAAAGGAGCTGTAGCTCCTTTAATAAGCAGAGGGTGCAATAAATGTTATTACGAAACAAAAACTAACAGTACCGTTATATAAATTAAAACATAAAGTAAAATACCTTAATAAAAGTTGAATATAGTACATGCAACCAATAATATTTAAAATACAACCATGACAAAAAGAAAAACAGGCAAGGAGTTCAAAAGAGTTGACTTAAAAAAAAAATTAAACTACGACATGGTGAGAATTTGTTGAAGTTTTATTTTTTTTGGATTCTCTTTCTTGGACGATAAGGTATTCTACTACCAGACACTTTTAACTGTGTATATAAGAGGAGTGATATTAAGATAAAGTATTAAGATATAATAAAATAGTTTTAGGTGCGATAGGGAAATTACGAAGACAAATGCAATAAAGTTACTTTATCAAATAATTTCAAATATTATGAAATTGTAATTTTTCTCGCCTTTCTTTTTTATTTCTACAAATGAAAGCACATAATATATGAAATAATCTGCGAAATACTATATATCAAAAATAATCTGACAAACTGACGTTTCGCGTCCAGTAGACATTTTGCGAAGCGGACATTTTGCGGCTGAGCCTACATAAGTACATTCTTCGTTCGTTCGTTCGAATCGTTGAGAGTAAGAGCTCAGTTTAAAGTAAAAATGAGAGATCGTAAGGTGCTGTCAGTAGTAAATTGATAAAACGATATAATATATATATTTGAGCTAGGGTGGAGTGCTAGGATTAAAAAGGACATAGTAAATAGTACTGGCTTCTGTGAAATCGTGAAAATGTCTACAATATAGATTACTGTCCAAGTTTGAACCGAAAATCTGATAAATGGTACAACCCAAAATGACTTGATGCAACGATTCTGTAACTGTGTATAAGTAGGTAGGTTCCCATACTTTGAAGGGTCATATATGCAGCAAATCCCTTCCAACAAACCACAGTAACTTAGGTGTCCAAATATATCAAAACCATTTATTTGCGCATCTGTCGGGTACTTCACAAAGGTTTGGAAAAAATAGTACAATTACTACTTTTGTCTTTACGAAGAACTTAACCAAATTTTAAATTAGGTGTTTGTGTATATTTTTCGTTGAAAGCATGATACATTATTTCATCGTATCGGTCGAGTGGGTGTCAATTGACGTTACGTTTGGCGGTCTCGTGCGCGCTGGGTTCAATGTAATATTGAGGAAGTCAAGGTATTCGAGTCGTAGCGAGACTTGCGAGTCGATCCCGATTTAGATGCGCTGGCGGCGCCGCCTCCGCCGCCGCGACGACGCAGTAACCCGAGCGACGTCGTCCTGCACGCTCCCTTACGCTTCTCTTAAAATCTCGTAGTTCGTTATCATAACAACTAATTTCTTCATTCAGATGTTCAACATCTAGGTCGTAATTTTGTGAACTTTGTGTCTGTGTGTTACGTGCCTTATTACTATTTCATATCAACAATAGCCTTGTTAATGCTAATAAAACAATACGATCTGCAGTTTGTTAATGTGAGATTTTGAATATTACTTAGTGTATCTCATACTGTTTATAATAGATTTCCTTCAGTTTAATCAAATCGCCCGCACCGACCCTCAATTTACTATCAATTTTTATCGTAAAGGTCGTAAATTTTTCAGCACATTCTCGTTTGCTTCTGGTGCCGCCCGCACAGTCATCTCATTCCTGTCGGCTCGGTTTGCCTCGTTCCCGGCCTTCCTAAATATTACATTCATTCAGCAACGTCTCGGAGTCACTGATGAATTTTTAACTCCACTTTCCAGTTCTTGTACACTATGTTTTAGGTAATGCAACATAATGTATTAGCTTCCTATACATTCCGTGACCAATGCGGTTCGCAAATCTAAATACAATGTAATCGTATTTTGGGGTTTCTAAATCGTTTGTCCTCTATATTTGTGCCAAAACATGAACGCGCTGCGTTGTTAGGATTATTTTAGTAGTATTTCTGGAGACGTATAATTTGGTACGTCTGGTTGTGTTGCCAAGTTGGTTATCTGTGGCCGTGTTTGTTTACAAGGCGCCCGGCACCGGTGTCCAGCACGCTCTGATCGTAAACTTTTACTATCACATTACGTTCTTCTTTGTATTATGTTTTAGTCGGTGCTATTTGGATTTTTTTATTGAACTTTTAATACGAACGCTTATTGAATCTATCGTCAGTCGCGCCTAATGCGCTGACGAGTGGTGCGCGTTGTTTGTCTCGTGGTGGTGGTATAAAATCATACAAGATACAGCGTTGGGAGTTTGTGGTTCACGTCAGTGTGAAGAAAGGGAGTGGAGGAAGGCACCCGTCATGGCGCGGTGATGGTCCCGCCGAGCGCGCGCGCCGCAAGCGCTCGCTCGACATGCGCCTTTGCGGCTGTTGTCTTGGTTAGTTTACAAAATAATCAAACTGCCATGTTGCTTACTGCATGTCATTAACATTTTTAAGCTTATTGTAATGATTATAAGTAACAAACAAAATCTGTGTTGTTTTAACCTTTCTAAGATCTAAATAATAAACAAATCCTCAATATCTGTAGCTCTTAAAACAGACAGACGCAATGGACGTCGGGGTTATCTCATTGTCCGAATTGAATATGCATGTGTGCGAAAGATATGAATGAAAAACATCAGTGTTATTGATGTGTAAGCATAGGTCATTCAATGACCGCGGCGTATGTGTGTTGCATATGTGAGTAATGGGATGACGCGGCAGCTTTTACATACATTTCAAGCTTTTATCGTAATAATCAATGATATTACAGTAGACTAAGATTCGCTATCAAAATGATCTTGCGTTCAAATCGTTCGAAATTACCCAATCATTTGTTAAAGATCTATTTTGATAAAAACTAAAATTCAGTTCAAAAAATGACAGCGTATGATTAACGTACACGTTAATTTATATACTGCTACGCTACTGAGAAACCACTTTCTTAAATGCTTGTTTATTTAATTGATTAAGATAATTTTTTGTCGAATGATGATAGAATTTTTTAACACTGAACTTTCTCAGAGCTTTTTGACACTGACAGTAGCTGTAGCTGGCCTCTCTTGCGGCGGCCACAGTGTAAACCATCGGGCCACCGAGTTTGCCAGATTCAGAGAATTTGATTAAAAGATTAATTAATCTTTGAGCCAAAAAGATAATCGATTTGCTACTGACTTCTCATTTAATATTTATTACGATAACTTTGTGACGTGGATGTGGAAGAAAATAAAGAGTTTGAATTTGAGTAAATTTAATATTTGCTGTAAATATTTTAGACCCTTTGGTTACTTTAAAGTACGTAACGTAACTGTATTACTGTTTACTCATGTGGACATTTATAACAATCAGTGGCAAAATCTTTGACACTAACTTCTCTGCACTTTGCTCGGCTTAAGACGGTATCGAGTGGAATGATCTTAATGTTTCATGCTGTTCAATGTAAATATGGTCAATTAGTAAAGTGATCATTAATTCGCTCGCAGCTGCGAGTTTGTCTGATAGCTCGCTCAGTGCTATATAACGTATTTATGCTTTAAAATATTACTACGAGATATCTTGGACGCTTCACTGCACGTTTCGCTCGATGCATTTGAATTTGCATATTGAATTTATAATCCGACATAGTGATGTTTTCATATTTGTTATTACCAAAAAACGGAGTTAAACGTTACGTAGTATTTTACATTACTAGTACATATTTCTTTATCTAATCCGAAAAAATGTCTCTTTTGAATCGTGAAAATGATACAATCGAAGTCGTCTGCGGCGCTTGCACTGGTTTTATATTTGTTTATGCACCTTTACGTGACGCATACCTGTGATGGCCGGCAGGGAAGTTGGGTAAAAATAGTCTCATTACCCCAAATTTGCCGAAATGGCGTCATATTTTCACGCGGCCTAGTTTACACTCAAATCATTACTGAATGAAATTCAGAGATGGTAACAATATCTTTCTATTTCTACATATTCATGAGATTATAGAAATTTAAAAGTACAAGACATAAAACAATTCTAAATTGCTTTTTTAAAATTTAGTGTTAGATTCTGATAGAAGGATCATTTAATTTTAATTTAGAGTGATGATAATTTTTTTTTGATGAAAGGCACGCGAGTCTGCTGAGTAAGCTTCCTGCTGGCGGCATCCCTGCTGACTTTTGTAGTTGGATATTAGATTTCCTTGATGGACGGTCAATCAGAGTAGACATTGAAGGCTGCTCATCTGATTTGATGGCTATCGATGTCGGAGTTCCTCAGGGGTCGGTTCTCTCTACGACTCTTTCTTGTACACATCAATAACCTGCTAGTCCCAGGTATTGTTGGATTTGCAGATGAGAGCACTGTTACGGAGAGATATCTGACCAGCGCAAAAGACAGCAGGGTAATTATCAGTTCGTTGAGAGAGGCCATGGTGGAGCGGACGAACTTGACCTTAAGTCTTGTCTCTCAGTGGGGAGAAGACAATCTATTCGAGTTCAACGCCACCAATTCGCAGGCCTGTCTGTTTTCTGCTAAAAGGAGTCAATTTGATCTGACTCCAACTTTTCGGGGTATATCTGTCTCTCTTACCGATTGCCTGGATCTTCTTGGCATAACATTGAGCGCAACCCTTAACTTTGGCACTTAAATTGAAAGTAAGGCACAAATTGCAGCCAAAAAGTGGGTATCCTTAATTAGGTTAAGCTATATTTCATGCCTGGATATCTCTTAACTTTATACAAAGCAGAAGTCCGAGCTTGCATGGACTACTGGAGTCACCTGTGGGATGGCTCAGCGAAGTATCAACTTGAGGCTCTTGATTCGATTGAGCGTAGAGCCAGACGACTTATTGGCGACGATAAGCTCGAATCTAAAGTTCGTAGTTAGCCCACCGGCGCAAAGTTACCCGTCTGTCGGTTTTTTTACAGAATATATTACGGTGACTGTGCTCAAGAGCTCCATCAGCTCATCCCGCCCGCCCTCTTTTACCATCGGACATCCAGACATACGGCCGGCTATCATCCTTACTTGGTCGATATTCCCTTCAGGAGCACTAAGCGCTTTTCATCATCCTTTATTATGCGCACAGCCCAGGAATGGAATTCCCTGCCAGCGTCTGTATTTCCGAATTCATACAACCCGGTTATCTTTAAGGTGCGACTGAATAGGCATCTTCTAGGTAAGCTCGTTCCATCGTAGATACTATCTTTGCTCCAGAACTAGGTCAAGAGCAAGTCCATTTAATAAAAAAATAATAATAATAATATTCACCTTGAATTTAAAGCGATGATTTTTTTTAACAGTAAGCGGAGAGCGCAAGTCGTCTGAGGCGGAGGAGGGCCGCCGCGGCGGCAGCGGCGGTGGCGGGTCGCGGACGTCTAGTGTGTCGGACGAGGGTGGGTTCAATGAGCCCTCGCCCGAGGTAGTGGCTCGTCTGCGCCCCGCCGACTACCGTGAGCCGCCACCCGTACTGACCAGAGACCATCGCGATCACGAGCGCGCACGTTCCGACCCTGATACGCTTTCTGCCGCACAGCAGGTATTCTTTACTTCGCATTGTATTAAATTATTATATCAATGAGTAGAAACGCTTTTTCTAATCAATCTCTAACAGGGCAAGATATATTTTAATATTGTCTCTAGCTTAACTAGTTATTAGTGTAACCCGTTTGAAAACATTTTACAGATGTTCAACGCAACATTTCAGGATTCTGGCGTAGTTGTGAGCGAAGCGAGTCAAGGCTCAATTGAGGTGCTCGACAAGTCGACCACCAGCCAATGGAGCGTCTCCGAAGCAGAAGCCGTGCCGGCCGAGCGCGGCCCGGAAACGACCGAAGTCGCCCAGTCGCGTTGGGACGCCGACGACGCCAAACAACCCGACAGCATGACCCCTGACGAGGCTGAGATACTACTTAGTTCTAGGTAACCAAATTTGTTGAGTTCTCTTTTCACTGTAGTTTTAGCGTTCCAAGTTCGGCTTCCATGGTCTGCAAGACGCTGTTGGGAGTCGTTCTCATCCAATCATCAGACACTGCAGTTCGTCAGAGTAAAGCAATTGACAAATTCTAATAATTATTTTTCTCCTTTGTCAAATAAATAATTACATTTTTTAATTTTTTATTGAATGTGACGCTATTTCACCGTGATATTCAGTTATTTTAATGTGAAATTACTTCAGTAGTTTGTTATAATTATTACCTTTTTCTGTCTATGTACTTTTCCAAAATCTATTTTTGCAGTTAAATATTCGCTTTCTATGCCGCACCTGACTGTATTTTCAAGTCACTACTTTAAAATCTGCTTTCCTATATTTTTACTTCCTTTCGTTTGTTGAGTAGTGTATGCTCTTCATACATTTTAATGTTCATATCGTGCGTTAGTATTTTGTAGGCAATACATTTATTACGTACACAAAACATTGAATATACTATTTATCATGTTATATATTATACATGTCCTACAATTCTGTATTATGTATATTTTATTTGCTTGTTATTATTATTAAATGTTATATTTTTATCATTTGCATGCTGCCTGTGCGCACAACGCTTCATTTTGCCTGAACACATTTGCAGCATTTTGGAGAAGAAGCTTAGGTAAGCTCGCTTCACTTTGTACAGTTGTGTCTGTATCTGTATTCTTCGTAGTCTGTACCCTTCGGTTACTTTTATACTCACTTGCTGCTTATATTGTTTTAAATAAAAACAATAAAGGGCCGCAAATTAATAGGGAAAACGATACGCTCTTATAATTGTGTATATATATATATATATATATATATATATATATATATATATATATGAAGTATATATATATATATATATGAAGTATATATATATGAAGAAATTAATTTTTGAAGGTGAACAACGTTGACTTTATGAGCCATCCCGCGTGCAGTCCCGACCTGGCACCTTGTGACTTTTATTTATTTCCAAACATTAAGAACCAGTTACGCGGGTCCATTCGTTTGAAAAAGTGCATTAACGCTAATGGAGAATATTTTGAGAAACAATAGATTCATTTCTGACATTTATACTAATTTTTTGTTATTCATTCCGGAAACTTATAGTGCGCCCCACATATATAGCACATAAACACAAATACATAGCATGTTCTCACTGATCTAATTTTAGGCATATTTATGTACATTACTTTAGAACAGAGGACGTAACAAAACACAACGACAATTTGTTATAACGTAGTTAATATTTTTTTCTGTATACAACTATTTCAGACAAGAAGCTCTCCTATCGGACGAGCAAGCGCAGGAGATAGTAGCTATGCTATCACCTCACAACGGAGTTTCGCTCAACGATAGCTACCAGTCCGTACTCTCCTACGAGAGGTATACAAAATTTTGTTTAATTCTTTAATGACAAATAGTATGTAATTTTCGTATATTAGTCTTTTGTTTAACTAAACTGCACAAAACATACTAGTCTCCTGGGATGTAATATCCAATAGGACGAACGGAAAATAATTCGCGTGCTTGCACATGCAACCGATACTGAAACTGTTGGTAAATGATTTCAAGTTTGAAGAAGTATTTTTTTTATAACATCAAGTGACGGGATAAGCAAATCATGTGGCTGTTCTTAAGCTACACGCCTGTCCATAACAGTTGCAGTACCTCAATGACTCGGAACCTCAATCACAAAGATCTGATGGATACTGCCATTGCGCCTGTCACCTTGAGACATAAGTTGACAAGTCCCCATGTGTTTGTATTTTCACCAGCGCCCTTACCTTACAAAACCAGAACGTAGTAATACTTGGCGGCAGAAATGGGTAAGGTGGTAGTACTAATTTTAATAGTAATCGATACACGGCTATCAATTTAGCCCAATCACCGTGTATATGAATGCTTATAGCGAAACTAGAGATGGGTCATGAATAAATATTTTACCCTTCAAAACCGGAATACAGTAATGCTGACATTACTGTTTGGCGGCAGAAATAGGTAAGGTGGCAGTGCTTCCCTGTACGAGCTCTTTCACAAGGAGCTCTACTGCTACTAGAATCAAATACAAGTAAAATTACATCCTTTTACACCTTTTTATTTGTATCGTAAAATACATTTAACCCCATGTACCGTATTCTTTTTATAGCATGCAGTCAGTGGATGAGAGCTACGAATTCGTATCTCTGGAGACAGAAGCAAACATGGCGGGCGGCGACCAGAAGCAGCCACAGGAGAAGGTTGAGGAAAGCGACACCGTGTTCAACCACTATCCACCACAGCAGCTGCGTGAGTTAGGGGAAGAAAACGGCATACACTACTTTGAAGATGGTCACTTTTATACAGAGGTGAGGTAACTTTAAGGTTGACTTCGTACATTCACTGTTACCACTGCGCTGCAACACACTCTATTATGCGTGCACGTACCAAACAATGGTGTCAAACTCCTTTCAGGTGTGTAGCAACGCGGTAGAACCGGACATATACAGGATGAATTTTTAGTCATTTTATGACTTTCATTTTATGATCTTTAGTGAAAATATAACATGCGCAAATTTTCCTTTTAGTGTAAGTCAATACTAAAATTAAGATATGCCATCGCAAAATTGTTTCAAAAAATTGCGCGCGTGTGGACAGCCTACTCGATATGCGCGCTAGGCCACCCCCCGCGTCATTGATAAAATACATAAGTTGCAAATTTTCCCTTCATACTTTCACGGGCTTAGGACCGTCAAGTTACAAAAGACTTTTGTGATGTTATTTTAGAATGTAGACAATTAATTCGAATTCAAGTCAAGATTTTGTTACATTAACGCACGAAAACGAGAGCGGAAGTTATTTATAAGTAAATTGTTTTAGAGGTTTGACAAAATTTAATGATATTATTACAAAATAATGATAAAAATAATGCACCAGATAAACACACCTAATTAGGAAAGTTCGTTTCCCGAACTTAACTTCTACGCATTTAAAGCGTTGTGTTACAGAAGGCCATCGAAGAATTTACTTATTGAATTTCAAAGTCACTAAAAATTTTACCATGTGTAGAGAACAAAAGAAAATAATCTTTACTTTTGTTTGTGAGACAAACAAAAGGTTCGCTTCCTACGATGAATTGTAACGAATTAGTATTTAGCAAGTAATAAAAAAAAGAATCTTCCCATCGCCCTTTTGTTATCTACGCACGTGGTGTTTTTTATTAGTGAACTAGAAACATTTTATAATAATATCAATAAATTTAAACAAAACATCGATTTACGACAAATGTAGTCCGCACTCGTATCGTACACAGAAGTATAAAAATAAAAGCAGGCCATGCCTTTTGCAATAAGGCGTATTTAAAATATTTGAATCAACTTATGTACATTTAATTAAAATCAAATAAAAATTACCTTAGCGTAACAACTTTAACAGTATTTTAATAATTGCTCAAAATGTAAACCATTCCTCCCCAAGCAGATTCTTGCACGTTTTTGAATATTGTCTTGTATTTTGTTCAGCACTGTAGTGTCACTTTTCACTTGTGCAAATGCACTTTCAATTTTTAGTTTCAATTCGTCGAGGCTTTGGGCCTCCTCCACATACACGCGGCGTTTAATTTCGCCCCACAAAAAAAAGTCACAGGGTGTGAGGTCTGGTGACCTGGGTGGCCATGGAACGGGACCCCCGCGGTCGATCCAGCGATTCCCGTATTCCATATTTAAATAATTCCTCACGTCGATAGCGTAATGTGGCGGTGCACCGTCATGCTGATAATAAAAAGCAGGATGGTTAATGAGGGCTAGCGGTACGTCGTCCATAAAATCAGAGACTATGCTTTGTAGCATATTGAGATAGGTGCCGGTCAGCCGCCCCTCAATAAAATACGGCCCTAGAATTTTATCACCGACAATCCCGGCCCACACATTTGCACTAAAACGCGCTTGTTGATAATTGTCTTTTATCATGTGCGGGTTGCGATACGACCACCAATGTTCATTATGTTGGTTGTACAGCCCCACACGTGTGAATAGGGCTTCATCAGTCCATAAAATGACCGCATCGGGGTGTGCGATCAGCCACTCGCAGAAAACTCGACGAGGCAGCGCGTCTGCTTCATTTAGCGTTTGCACTTTTTGAAAGTGATAAGGGTGCAATCCAGAGGTGTTGAGCAGCTTCCACACAGCGTATTGACTAACGTTGAACCGTCGAGCTGCATCACGTGTACTTCGTCTTGGATTTCTCCCGAAAAAATCGAAGATTTCGTCTTCGATTTCCACGGACAGTCGCGGCCTACCACGTCCTTGGGCGTGTGAAGGCGTCGTAAACTGGCCATGGTCTGAAACGTTTGGCGGTTGGGGACTGTAGGACTTGCTATTCCATAATTGCGAAGGCGAGGAATGCTCTCTGACTCGTATAGTCTCTGGGCTCCGTTTAGGCTTTCATCACTTATAAAATAGCACTTGACCATTTCAAAGTACTCGCGGTTTGTATACATAGTGACACGTGAATGCGTTTTCAATAGCGAGATAGCGTTGCACACACATACGAAACGCTACACGGACGTGTGACGACTGAAGTGACAGCCGCCAATAGCGTTCGGCGCGGGCGGCGGCGGTGGCGGCATTTTGCTTTGGCGGCCTATGATTGGAGAATCCGCGCGGTTAGCGTATGGCATTCATTCATTGACGCATAGTCGTAGTAAATAATAATAGCGTAAATTGGTAACCAATTTTTGTCGAGTATTACTTCGGAATAAATATTTTCATTTTGAAAATAGACCTATCAATTTTTTTTCGAAAATGGAGTCTTTGAATGATACCTAGCGGCTGGAAAAAATTTGGACGATGATTAAAAAATCACCTGTATAACCGGATTTTCACATCAAGTTATAAAATTCTTGTACATTGAATTTGCTATTAAAAACATCATAAAAAACTATTTCATGCACTTGATTTAGTTGGAACATCGTCTGAGTCACTATATGAGTTTTATTAGTCACATGGTCCCGGAATCACTGCTGCAGTAGGTTTCATGTAGAGCTCCGCCGATTTAATTCTACTTATTATTTTGTATTGACTCTGATTTGACTGCGCTAGTATTCATGTTAAGCTTGGTATACTGAATAAAATTAGTAAAAAAAAACATTAAAATTCTCGCTTTTTTGTGTACAACATTTGCATTTATATTTGTCTCCTATATCATCCACTGGTTATTCGAAAGTAAAAAAACTTTTTCACGTTTTTTTATAATACTAAGTGTTTCCGTGGATAAATGTACCCTGGTATGCTGGCAGTGGAAAGTTTATATTATATTAATCTTTGATATTTACATATTTACTTTTATTTATTGTTTTATAATATCAAGTGACTGGACGAACAAATCATGCGTCTGATAGTAGTAACCTACATGCTTGTCCATAACAGTTGCAGTACCGTTCAGAGCTTTAAATCGCAAAAATCTGAGGGGCAATGCCACTGCGCCCGTCACCCTGAGATGTAAGTTGACAAGTCTCATGTGCCTGTAATTTCACCAGCATTTACCTTTCAAAACCGGAATACAGTAATGCTGACATTTCTGTTTGGCGGCAGAAATAGGTAAGGTGGCAGTACTTCCCTGTACGAACTTTTTTACAAGGAGCTCCACTGCTGCTATTTAAATTTTAGTCAACATATTAGGTTCGCAATTGTGTTAATAACTCTTAGCCTACGTTAGTACTTAATAATTAACAATGATTTCGTCCTTTGACTGAGTTTCCAATATCAAAGGACAAGATTAAATAATTAAGATTAAATATCATCTTCCAGATGGTGTTACTACTGCCCCACACTCTGTCTATAAGCAAATCGTTTTCGTGCGCCATACCGCGTTGAAACCAGATTTTTGTACTAAATACGATAAATTTGTAAATAAAATAATAGAATATGGCTTAATGTACAGTACATTAACCCTACCTAATTATGTTTTCCAGGTGGCCGGTCTCCCACCGATAGAGGAAGACGAAGACGACGATTACTACCCGCCGGTATTTGTTAAGAAAAATAGCAAAGTTAAATTCAGGTAAGATCACTGTACTACCCAAGTAATATTTGCATTACGAATACGCAACAATCTGTTGACTTTACTCCTGACAGTTTGCGTTGCCGAAATAAAAGTGACTTATACAGGATTATGTTTAATTTAATCTTAGAATACAGTATTAATGTCATTAAAAAGCAAGTTTACGACTTTTGGCAATGCACAGGCTTTTTACTTTTCATTGAAATCGATGAATAGTGAAATTGACATTGACCATTATTTTTATTTTTCTTTGAAATGTACATAGTATGAGTGAGTAAGATTTTCCTTATATAAGGAAATTAACTCTACCGGACGATTTTAACCGAAGGGCAAATTGTAAAAGATATGTTACCACGGAAATCTATTGATAAATATGTATATCAGAATTTCTTAATATGGAAAACAGTTTTCTATAGAAAACCTGGAAGAAGAAATAGACAATAAGCTGTGTCAAAAGTTGAGAGAGGACACTGACTCCTGTAACATAGGTCTTACTAGCTTAGCTCAGGTGTCGAGGACTTCATTACTATATTGTAAATATTTTGTAACAATAAACATTTTGTTATTATTATTATTCTTGAGAGACGTCTTGCATAACTTGGACGTTAAGGTAACTGTGTCAACTCTTGCCTAAACAAGCTACCATTTTAAATTGACCCTGTATGTACATTTTTTCTCCTGCCAGTTCAAATCCTATGAAAGTGTTCTCGACACACTCTGTGCGCGAATACGATCGTCGCAATGAGGACGTGGATCCCGTGGCAGCATCGGCCGAATACGAATTAGAGAAGCGAGTCGAGAAGATGCATGTGTTCCCTGTTGATCTTGTCAAGGGCGCTGATGGACTCGGCTTATCTATTATTGGTATGTTATTTACGCAATTACAAACCGGCTATGAGTTACACGCTCCATGGTATTTTTTGTATCGAAGGTGGTATTAATTAGAAAATAATTAGGAAGTATACATTTCGCTTCATACGACCCATCAGAATACGGCGGGAGGGAATTTCAACGGGCAGACTAAATTGTGCATTCTGAAAATCTTTCTATAGCAATAAAGCATATCTATCTGTAAAAGTTCGCGACCCACAGTTGTTATCTACCTTCTACTTACAATAATACAATGCTGGTATTAAATGAATATCTTTATTCAGGAATGGGCGTTGGTGCTGATGCAGGGCTAGAAAAGCTAGGTATATTCGTGAAGACCATCACAGAAAGCGGCGCTGCAGCTCGTGACGGACGCATACAGGTCAACGATCAAATCATCGAAGTCGATGGCAAGAGCTTGGTACGTATACTGGAATGTCATAATAAAATAAATGATGAATTTTGTTTTTTTTTAAAGTTCCAAGACCAAAACGGTAATCATTCAGCATGAAGTTCGTTGATTTCAACTTGTAAATTTTTTACTATATGTATAGTGTGCCATAACTATTTCATTTCAAAAGCAATTTCATTAAAGACAAACACACTCGTTAAAGACACTATTTGGAGTGAGAGTGATTAATTTACATTAGCAGTAGAGCTCCTTGTGAAAGAGAAGTACTGCCACCTTACCTATTCCTGCCGTCAAGTTCCAGTTTTAAAGGGTGGTGGTGAAATTACAGGCACGTGAGACTTATCAACTTATGTCTCAGGCTCTCGGGTGCAGTGGCAGCGCCCCTCAGGTCTTTGCGATTTAAATCTCTGACTGACATTGCAATTGTTATGGACAGGCGTGTGTAGCTTACCATCAGGCTTGGTAGTCCCGTCATATGATCTAATAAAAAAAAATTACGTGTACAATGTAGATATGAGCGCCGCGCCGCCGCACTATATGGGGAGATTGAGTTATTTTCATGTCATAAATCTATAACTTCCAAGCTTTGAAAGATAATTATGAGATTTTTTTTTTGGATATTCTTGAATATATTTACTTTTAATTAATATACATTTTGTAGGTTTTAACATATTTTTAATAACTTAACTTTTTAAACCTTTTTTAAACTTAATATTTTTAATAACTTAATAAAAAAAGAAAGCAAAAGCAATTACAAAGGTCATATTACAAAATTGAAGACTATGTGTTAGTAAAAGATTTGTGTAAAGACGATATGGGTCTAGATTCTGCACAAATTTGATGCAAAGTGTATTCAATAGCATATAAGTGTATTTGAAAAGAGCAATCGCTAGAGTTTTTCTTCTCAGGAAAGGCAGCATAGTGAACGAGCAGTAGCTTATAAAATGACATTTTCAAGTGTAATTTATTTTACCTATGGTATAAATGATTCTTTGACTTTGAATAACTATAAAAAATATATGAACAAAAATAAATGTATATAAACTAACATCAATCTTTAAAGTAAATAAACTATGTAAATTAAACATCTTTGTATTAATAATTATAACAAACTAGTGGAGTAATTTCACAAAAAATAATTGAATATCAATTCAATAAAAATTTAATTAATACAATGAATAGCGACATCTCTCGCCAGGACTGGTAGCTGTAAAGGTACTAACTGGATGATAAATCTGCAATAGATTTCTCATAGATGGCGCTACGACTAAAAAGTCGTTGAAAGACCAAGTACAAAGACACGACGCAAGCACATAGAAAAATTCGTGAGGTCCGTTGGTTCGTTCCGTGGCTTAGTTGGTATAGCGTCTGGCACGGTATGCAAGAAGACGTCGCACTATGGGAACCTTGACTCCTTTTCATATCATAAATCTATAACTTCCGTGTTTTTGATGATATCTACCTGATTTTTTTTCTGGGTATACCTAAATAGATATTCTCTTAAATAATATACACTTTATAAGTCAAATTTTATTTATTATAGTTATAAAAATTAAGGAATAAAAAAGTATTAATTTCTTAGATTTAACCATGCATGTTCTTATAAATTTATAGATTAATAAGATGAAGTACCTACTTTAAATATCAAGAATACATAAAAACATAGCTTAGTAGTCACTCAGGAGCTCTTTTGCTTCATCAAGACGTTCCAAATATTTATTGTTGTAAGGTTTTCTCAAGCTTGTAATGTATGGATCAGAGGTATACAAAAGTGTGTGTATAACGTCTTCGTTGGTGGCTGCCCTCGAACATTTTCTTGCATGATGAAGTCTGAACTGCTTGTAGTCTTTGTTTCGTGACTCTTGAGCATCTTCAGAGAGTTGTCCAAGAGGCAAGACAGAAAAATGACGTATGACACTCTCACCATGAATCAACACTTTGTGCACTGATGACGGCATGTAATACCATTTATATTTATTAACATACAGCTGTGCTGTATCGAATGCATACTGTCCAAATTTCGTGGCATCAATACCTCTACCACTTGACATGACCTGAAGTATAACATAAAACCGTTTTATTAATTCCTCATTTATTCCAGTGATTTCTGATGAACGATGGTAGTTTTGGAAAAATCTTCTGGCTGTATTACCGTCATTAGTGTTGCCACTTACTTGCTTAGGTTTATATATATTCAATCCAAGTTCTTCTCTGAACCTTCTTTGTACGTAAGCTTTCTTTTGCTTTTTTAAATCTTTATTCTCTGTTGTTGTGGCAGACCATTTTTCAAAACCTAGATTGTAAGATAAATGTAAAATAAGTTCCATAAATCTGATCCAACAATGCAAAGTTGAAAGTCCATATTGATAAGAAGCTTCATCCACAGGTTTGTTTCGCACTCTTTCTAAATTATTCATTTCTGTAGGTCTTGCACTGCAAATAGTGCACACAGCACTTGAGGAAGTTTCTGACAAAACTTGAGCCACTTTCCCATCAATTATAGTTAAAAACAACGTGTTTTATTTCAATACCTTCTCCATTGTGATTAATTAGGGAAGGATTCAGGGCTAAAATTTGAGCATTAATTTCGCTGACTACCAGTGTTGTTTTCTCAGCTGTTTCTTTTGAAAATTCTATCAAAATTAGTCGGCAAAATCTCACTGACGAAGGAACAGGATTAGTCCACAATACTTCATTAGTATTGGTATCAATAAGTCGCAATGGCACTAAAGATGATATAAATAAATTAGAGTCTGAAATTAGATCACTCTCTTCAGACAGGGGTTGTTTGTATTCGCTTTGTCCACTTGATCCATCACAGCCCCATTTGGAATATAGCATTAAGTGGGTTGAACCCACTTTATAAACATCATTAATTTTTAGAAGTCTGGCCGAAGTGTGATCTAAAAGATCTTGTAGTTTTATTTGTGCTTTTATGTTAGTAATTTCAACGCTAGATTCTGGTAGATAGCACATTCGCTTAGCTTCACGAATCGACTTGTAAGAAGGAAACAATAAGCAATTTTTTGTAATTAAACAATTTCTCATATTGTCATACTGTGCCTTGTTCAGATTTAATTCTATAAAAATGCTGAGTGCTTCGTCTTTTGAATACGCTGTTATATGTGCTGGTTCATTAAGAAGACTATTGCGTATTTCACTTTTTTTTTCTGAAGGCAATGTTCGTAAAACTTCAACAATTAAGGCTTCTTCTACTTCGCCACGAGCCTTAAGCCCTGTATGTACGAGTTCAATATGAAATCAAGTCCACATGAATCAAGCAATTCCTTGTTTTTACGTTTTTTTGTGCTCACTGAACTATTTTCGTACGTTTTAGGTCTTCCTCTTTTTTCTTCTCAGGTTCAGAAGGTTCAGGTTGGCATGTAGGTTCTTCTAGTTTCACCGTGAATATGCCATCCAACCAATTGCTGTTTTTACTTAAAAACAGATCTTTCTTTCGACCCGCTTTAGAAAAGCGTTGACGAAACTGGTTTATGAAGATTTCTTTGAATATTTGGTATAATTTTTGCTATGTTTTCATCTGAAGGTTCTGTGAAATTGCTTCGTATATAATGTGTAATAGAAACAACATAATTCGAATCACTTTCAATCAACACGAGACTTAAGTCGCGTCTGGTGCACGAGAATTCACTCATTGCGGAAAGTTACTGCGTAACAAACTTTTGCTAATAACAAAAACTAATGAAGAACTGTAATATTTAATGAAAAAGTCACTGTTTTATACTAAATAATGACAGAAGACGAGTGCAAAATTACTTGATAAAAACTAATTTATCATAATGCGGTTATGCGGTTTTTAATGGTACTGTTTGTCAATTGGAATCAAATTCTGTGAGAAATATGTGATAAAAATACCGCAAAATATAAAATATAATCTAACAATAGTGTCATATGCGTTTTTTGACGGTAAGGGCAGAAAATTACGAAAAATAGAAACTCTTAATGTACGAAATTAAAATTAATAAAAAGTTTACTGCATATTTTACGAAATTAAAACATGTTCTGCACTGAAACCGCAAGAAATTTTTGTTTGCCATCTAAGTATATCATATTTCTTACAAAATAACACAAAAAATAGAACTTCGGCAAGCTTCGGCAACTGTCATATCTCAAAGTCAAAGATTAGAAAAAGAAAATATTACATATGATGTTTATATATTTTTGTTTAAATAATGTTGTGCTAAATTACACATTTTTTATATCTGAAAGTAAAGTACACATTCCAAGCTTTTTCTAAAATGGGGTAAAACTTATATGATTTCTATTGTTTTCATACTAGAAAATCATATCGAAGAAATAAAAGTTACAAAGTTGTTTTTGTATTTGTTTTATTCCTTATCTTCAAATGATTTCAACTGTGCCATACGAATGGTTAGAGATTTGAATCTTATTATAATACATGCATCTCCGCATGCTTTTGTAAAAAGCATTTATGAGATGGCTCTCTTAAGAGGGTTCCCATAGTGCGTCGGTTCGAATCCGACCGGATCGAAGGAATTTTTTCTGAGTGTTCGATTTTTGTATCAATAATTATAACAAACTAGTGGAGTAATTTCACAAAAAATAATTGAATATCAATTCAATAAAAATTTAATTAGTATATTTTTTATTATGCAAATGCGCTATTTATACATAATATTGATGTGAAGCTTGCATGTGAAACGGTTTGATAAAATTTTTCTTTTCAAAATTATTAATAATCACATTGATTCTACTTATTTACTAAGCCAAATTTCATTTAAATGTCCAAGACCCAACCTACGTCCGCGAGGCCCATTTGCAATACCTCATTGTCGCACTAATTATTCTAAGAATAGGTTCCTTGTAAGGGCTTGTACCCAATTTAATAATGTATATAATGAAATTAATATATTTGACAATAAGCCATTCCGGTTCAAATCTGCCATTACGAAGATCTTATTAACGTAATTATCCAATCGAGGCAATTTTTCTTAGTGTTCGGTCTTTGTATTCTTTATTATAGCGAACTGGTGGAGAGTTTTCTGATAAAGTGGTTGAATGTCATGGTAATTCACATCATGATATTCATTAAACTTAAAATTGTAATTAAAAATTACCCACAATTTGTTGCTTGGTGGTAATTATTTTGTTGGTTGCTACCTTATTTTACGTATGTTCAGTGTCTATCTAACGTAACTTAGTTTAAACAGTAGTGGAAACTGTTTTGGCCAGTGTTTGTTTTATACGTGTTATTAATGAAATGTATAATATGACGCTGTATGTTTCCCAAATAAATAAAAAAATAAAAAAATAAAATAAAAACTATCTACCACTATATGCGGTTTTCGATAATTTTATCATAGTAAATTGTATACGTGAACAAAAGTACGGTGAGAAATTGTATATTACATATATATGTATACCTACATACTTTAATTGCATATGTATCTAAATAATAACCAAATTGTATACATTATAACATAAAGCCATATCAAGTAATAAAATTTACTCTTCGTTAGCGTAGTAAGAACATAATTTCCTAAGTTCACGATTTAATAGATTGACATACGTTACGCAAGGAAACTGCAAGTTTTTTTTTCTTCTAATATAATTTAGTTAGTTTTCCTATGAAACAACACTATAGAGCAACGGCAAATTTCGGCAATAGTCAAAACTCTAATTGAATATTAAACATAAGCAAAATTAGCATATCACGAGATGTAAATAGCTGATGGGTATATTTACGAGAGCAGATTATATACATGTACTTCAGAAAAAGTACATATTTTCAGCTTTCCAAAATGGTATAACACTTTAATTACTATTGCTATGTCACTGTAAATTCATATTGAACAAATCACAAATTTAAAATTATTTTAAACATTTTTTTATTCCGCATATTTGGCTGCTCTATGCCATGAAATAGTATCATACAGAAGTTTAAAAGATATATATTTGTATAGATTGATCTTTTAGCTTTAATTTGAGGTATAATACATGTATCTCCACAGACTTTTCAGAAAACCATTTATTAAATGGCTCTCTTAGGTGGTTCCCCATAGTGCGCCGCCTCGTTTTTCCAGTTCAGGGAACAAGTCTGCAGGCAAGGAATTCCACTCCATAGCCGTTTGCCATATAAATGTGGAAGCGTAACGCTTCGTGCGAATGTTTGGAATATCCACAATATAGAGGTGGAACCCAAGTCTACACCTAGTCCCCCGGTGATGGAAAGGGGAAAGCGGAATGAAACCGTGTAATTCCGTGTAATAATTCAAATATATATGTAAATACCGATAAGCTGGCAACTTTACTGCGGTGTTCAAGGCTCTGCAGCTTCGCCTCCACTGATTCCGAGCTACCTATAAGCTTCTTGACACGGTTGTCAATTGAATCAAAGGTGGCCAGTTGGTATGTAACAGGGTCATCCTAAAGGTGGCAACAGTACTCAATGCACGACCGGACTTATGCTTAGTACAGCTGAAGCAACTGTCCCTATCTACCGACCCGAGATGTCCTTATCTACCGACCCGAGAGTTAGGGTTTTCCGGAGAGACCACGGGCTCGACGGCAAGACCAGGGTACAGCGGGCGTCCGGGCCAAGCCCTCCGCCAGTGATACGCCTTTGTGGGCGTCTCTGGCGGACCCGGACTTGGGTATGGACTCGTTGGGGTTTATGGTTAGCTGCAGAGACGGACATGTTTGTCTCGTGAGCAGCTAACGCGTCTTAGTAGCGATCTAGTTGAGTTGAGTTGCCCTTTAAGTTGGAAGCTATATCCGGACATTGTCGAAGGACACTGCGACTGGCATCTCCGGCACTAGCCCAGAGAGCTAGTAGAGGATAAGCTAGATATCCTCCGGTCCCTCCTGCCGCTTAGGTTATTGGGAACCGGAGAGACGTCGTTTTTCGGCGTCGATAAGCGTACCTTACAGCTCTGCCACCAATGAGGAGATTTAGTAGTGGACTCAGAGTCGACGGCTTGGCGGTGGCAATTGCTAGTTGTGCAATGCGCAACGGGAAGTGAGCGTGCCTACAGTTCCGGTACCTACCTGAAAAATAGGGAGGGTAATGTATGTACTCTCGAAGATCCGGATGAAGTCAAGTGACAGAGGTCAGTGAGAACCAGGTACACTGGCTGTGCGCGCACAAGTTATAGTGTCCTTCTCATATGCCGTATGCCCTAAGGGTAGTTAGGGAGGGTCACTATAATCAAAACTAACGTAGAAAGATATGGTGCTTGTCCCGGTGTGAAGTAACGCCTCACCCTGGAAAGGATCCCAAGCTTCCTTGCTGCACATTTGGCCATGAATTCAATGTATCTGCCGAAATACAAATTGGACGACTGGTCCATTCCAAGTAGGAGGCGACAGTGGGCTATCGGTATGGATAGGTGTGGATATCACGAAAAGTCGGGAGTCAGCTCAAAGGGACTTCGTTTCGTGGAGAATAGACACGCTTGCGTTTGGTAACGTTAAATTTGGCATCGTCTTAATCGGAGACTGCTTTGAATGTCAAATCCAAACGGCTAACCATGGACTCTCGACAAGACTGGATTTCCTCTCCACTGACCCTTGCATTGTCAAGTACCTATCTAAAACTGTGTTATCATCAGCATACGCAAAGGTACCTGGAGTTAACATATCATTGATATGCAGCAGAAAGAGAGTTGCAGACAGTACGGAACCCTGAAGAATCTATAGCCATATGTTCGGAAGAGTAGCCTTCTAAGACCACTCGAATTGAACGTTCGCTCCAGAAATCCGAGATTTGCCTTGTCATCTGCAGTATGGGCCAGCGTGCCGTCCGGCCGCAGCAGAGGTGACATAGGTAGGCGACAAAAGTTAGTGATTTTATATTTAAAAAGGTTTTGTTTAAAAAATTAATTTATCAATTTCTGGCGTCGCCATTTTCACTACGCGTACACAATATGGAAGCGTGCGCGTGCGTAATCGGAGCACCTAATAGAACTGATAAAAATTTGATTACTATAAAAAATACGTTATTTAATTTTTTGTTTTGAGAAACTATTTATATAACGGTTTTTGTAAAAACAAACACCGATATACAAATTCGTTTTAGGGTCGCACTCGCGCCGCCGACATGCCGCCGCCGCTGCCGCTCATGTCTAGTACTATGTTGCTTCATTATCCTTGAATAATGTAGCCTTTGCACCACTACACCAAGTGATAAAATGCTAGCTTTTTCAACAATTAAATTCACTTGCTTCCCGATTTTTGTGTGTTTGTTTAACTGAGTTATTTTGTCAGGTGGGCGTAACCCAAGCGTACGCAGCATCGGTGCTGCGCAATACCTCCGGGCCGGTGAAGTTCTTGATCGGGCGCGAGAAAGACCCCGACAACAGCGAAGTCGCTCATCTCATACGACAATCGCTTGCTGCCGATAAAGAGAGAGAGGAGAGGTAAATTATTTGCTACGAAAATTGTTGATGATGACATTATTCGCAACGCGTTACTCATGTACAAATCAAATATATAATACATAAGTTCAAAATCCCTTTTTCCTGGATTTTACCTTATCCGGAATGAGGTTTTTGGGTTTCAAGGCATAAAACATGAGTTAGAAGACTAGTTGCGATAATTAAATGCTTTTCTTTGGCATTCAAAAGTACACAATAAGGTGATGGTTAATTGGAAGGGTACTCGAGTATTTCTGATTCATTTTCAACATGTTCATGTGAACTTACATTTACAACTTTATCGAATCAAAATATTTTTTAGCCAAGTACTGGAATGTTTGTGATATTAGGGCGGTGCGCGAGAGACAGCGGCGGCAACAGAGCGAGGAGGACGAGACGGTGCACGCGCCCGTTGACGTCGCAGCCAACACTCGCCATCCCGACATTGGAGAGTTGCGCGCACTACTTCACGAGGTCAGATATATTGTTACTTAAGCTAATATTGCAAGTGACTAGGTTAGGATCATCCGTGGATGTTGAAGAAAGCGATTAAACCCGTTTATCGGCCAAAGTCGTTCAATGTCGTTCTCTCGACAACTACCTGTTTTACACTAAAGTTTGTCCTTTATGGACCAGTAAATTCACAGATGGTTGGTGGCTGCCCAAACGGTGATCGATGACGTAGTTTGCGCTAGGTTACCTACACCATTGGCTGCTTAGTCATTTGGGATGGGATGCTTATTAATAAGCATCCCAGTTTTAGTAGCAGTTGAGCTCCATTTGAAAACGTTTGTCTAGGGAAGTACTGCCACCTTATCTATTTCTGCCGCCAAGCAGTAATTTCACCATTACTGTGTTCCGATTTTGAAGGGTAAGGGTGCACGTGGGACTTGTCACTTTATATCTCTTATGTGTTGTATGATCTTTGCGTTTCAAAGCTTGAGTGGCACTGGAACTGTTATGGACAGGCGTGTAGCTTACCATCAGGCGCACGACTTGTTCGTCCCGTCACTAGATATTATTAAAAAAAAAAAACAAAACGTAGTCTACTTGTGATCGTGTTACTGAGTGAGAAAGATGGGATCAAGTATGCCGGTTTGTTTATCAGCTGGTGGGCATGGAAGCGGCGGGCGGCGGATCGGCGGAAATCAGCGCTCGGCTACGCGACTGGTGCGCCGTACGCGCGCCCGACGAACTCAAGCGCGCAGCGGACACTGCGCATCGCGCGCGCAAGAAATACGACAAGGTAACAAACTCTTTTTTACAGCATTTCAATTTCGCTGCGAATGATATCCCTGGCTTATTTTGGTGCGGTTATAATCATTAATCTATTTAAACCAATAACTTATCTTCACGCCGCGGGATTTAATCGTTGGCGTTTCGTTTGCTTTTAATATTACTTTGTGTTTTGTGTTTTTATTTGTTATTGTGATACTAACCTGGGGGCCATCCATTAGGCTCGTCGCGCACTGCGAGAATGGCGTCGCACGCGCGCAATGGTGCGTGCGCGGGAGGAGTGGTGGAGCAGCGCTTTGCGCGACGCGCACCGCGAGTACGCTTCTGCGCTGTCCGCGCTGCACGACCGCGTCGCCAGACTCGAAGTGCTACTGCTAGTACGTATCGTTACAGCCGTTTTCCTAGTACAAATGTCACCTAAATTCACTTTACGGGGTGTGCTTTTGCCATTATGAATATGCAGTATAACTATTGTCATGTTATGTGTGAACCTTGGTAGGCTATGGATTGACCTACCGCCTCTTAAGCGGAGGGTCGTGGGCATAAATTGTGCGAAATTTAATTTAAAATTTACCAAGAGCTTATCGGTGGAGGAAAACATCGTGACAACCATAGAAACAATCTGCACACATTTGCGAAGCAATGAGTGTGAAGTTCCCAATCCGCATCCGAACTATAGTCCAAGCCCAATCATTATGAGAGGAGGCCTGTGCCCAGCAGTGGGACTGTATACAGGATATGTATTCGGATTTCCGAATACAGATTTCCATTTCTAGTAATTATTAGGTTTATCTGGGGGTCATTATTGTTGTATAAGTAAATTTATATATAAAAAGGAAAATAATTTTACAGCTCTATATAGTTCACATGGAAATCGAAACAAACAACAAATTTCGTAGTTCTGAATTCAAATTATTATAGATGATCAATACTACAGACCCCTATGCATTTGTAAATAATTTATCGTGTTCTATATCATTATTTAACGATAATATGTTCAGGAGACGCAGAAAAAGGCGGGTCTGCCGGTGATGCTACCACACGAACCGTCAGCACGTCGCGAGACACCTCCGCTCCCGCGACGGCCCGACCCTGATCCTTTGCTCATTAATGGTAATTAGAGTAGCTTTTGAATGTCCAAGTATTAAAAGCTATAATTGGCACAACAACACTCAAATTGTTGGGAATTACAGATCCATGGAGTTCCGATAGCGATTTGTCCGACATATCACCCGTAGAGGACGAATACGCGAAAGTGGACAAATCGGAACGGCGCCGGCAGCGCGATGCTCCGGACATCGGCGACGTAACTGTCACCGCCATCAGTGAAGACACGTCTGTCCCTACCACTAACACGGTCACTGCTATAGCTGCAGCTGTGACCACAGCGGTGGCTCCTACGCCGGCTGCTGTACCCACTACTACAGTATATCAGACCGCTGTGTATGAATCCCCTGCGACAGTCACTGCACTCCCTACTACAGCAACAGATACCTTGTGAGTTATTACGGTGTACAGCTTATTCTTTCTATTGCCAATTTTAATTAACACTACTAAAGTCTGCTTTTGCATTGTTGTGAAGTGTACGTTTCAACTTTACGCCGCTGACTTGAAGTTATTTTAAGCTGGTAATACACATGAATCCCGTGTGGACCAGTCAAGTATTTACAATTCAAAGAAAAAGCAGTAAATCAGGATATTTTAGCTCCCTTTGTTACACTTTTTACTGAAAATTTTGGATTTATGTCATAGGCTGAGTTCGACGGGTAGCATCGGCTCAACAGGCAGCGTCGGTCGCGGCGAACCGTCATCGGTGGCTGTCGCTTCCCGCGAGCTCGACGCGGCCGTCCCGCGTGGGGCACTACTCGACTCGAGCGCTGCGCGTGCTCGGACTGATCTTGCACGCGCGAGGCCGCATGCACCGCACTCTTCGCCACACTCGCCGCATTCGCTCAGCAATGCCTCCTCCGTACGTGCTTTACATCAAACTATCCTTTGTCTATTGCTTTTATGTTTCTACAAATAGGAGATTGTACAACAAGTGCAAAAGACGCGTCATTTTACCCGAGACGTGTATGTCCACCCGAACCGCAGGCGAAGGTGGATACTTAAGTCGATCGTAAAATGGGTTTTATGAACGAGTTATACACTCTGCTTTTCATTTCGATTGCAAGGAAATTCAACAGCAATATTACAAATAAACGATTATTTAATTTGAATGTAAAATTATAACAATTAGGCATATTTAATGTGATGTTTATTTTATGCACTAGAGCATAAAATCCTATTTTATCCAGCCTACACCCAGCATAAATACGAACTTTAAGAACATGAGAAGTGAAAAGTATTTTAATTGAAAAGTCGTATTCATTTTGCGTGTCGTAAGCATTTTAGTTTATTTTGAAAAAAGCAACCACTAGAGATTCTGCTCGTTCTTTTCGGGAAAATCAGAAAAAAATACGTTTTCAAGTGTAAATTTATTTTACCTATGGAATAAATGATTAAGTACCTACTACATAGGGTGTCATTTATTAACCAATTGATCAGAACGATTTTTTTATTTGCGTAGGCGAGTAACGTGTACAAGGAAGTGATGGAATACGCCACATCTGACATTTAAATAGCTGTAACAAGAATAATATATTTGTTTATAGTACGATGGACTCGACGACTCGTACAACGAATCCGCAGACGAGTCACTTAGCGAATCTACATCGGGAGCGCCCACTCACAGCGGCCAGAACATTGTAAGTACTATAGCACTAGCCGATCGATAAACCAGTTTATACCATTTTGACTTAATTATAGAATTTTACTAAGCGACGTTTTCATACCAAATATAATAAATAAACAGGAATTTTGAATGGGATCCGAAAAGTTGACGTGTTGCTATGTTCAGATGCCATAAGCGCAAGAAGATGTAACAACTGGTATGAAATTTGTACCTATAGGCGAGAATTGATGCGAACATATTAGGCGCAGGTTTGCGTGTTGGTGGATCTGTATCACGTAGTGTGACCGTGAAACACTTCCAGTCTCGCTTGCACACAGTTCTATATTGAATTACGTACATAGCGTATTGTATGATATTTTACATGACGTCTTAAACTTCGAATACTAACTGAATTCCATCACAAAACTCTCCTGGAATATTTTGAGGCGTCTCTGTCGGTTGGCACTTCAATATTGTGCAATATTGATGGGTATAATTTGGTGTTTAATGACTTAATAATTTTAGAGATAATTTGCTTACCTTAAGCAGCTGTTTTGAATTGAGTACGCAGTTGAGATTTAACAAAATAACTCATATATTAGGACTTCTTGGATGTAGTTTTCATTCCCGCATATTAACTTTTTCTTTACTTGATGTTATTGATATTTTAGCAACGAGATACGCGGCAAAGTTGTGGCAGTTCAGGGGGCAGCGCCGTCGACGACGCTGTTTACTCGCGCGATCACCGGCATCATCCAACAGGTATAAATTAATGTATAAGTGTTAACACAAAAAATACACGATAAACGGAACTAGTATTGTCTTAAATGTTTGTGTATGTTCATTACGCTGACTGAAAAAAAGGGGCTCAGGAATGGTTATAACGTTAATTTTGCTTGCTTTTCGTATTTAATATAAATCGAAACATTTGTTCGAAATTTTATTTCCCCTTCGTTGATTACTCATTCATACACCACCATTATTTCGTTTCTTCCTTTCGGTTCTATTCTATTGGTCTTATTTTCGTCGATTATTCTTCGTTCTTGGTGATGTTGTTCTTAGTTTCTGTTTATTTCTGGTCGTACATCGTAGTCGTACGTTCTTTTGCTATCTCTTGTTGCTGTGATTTTCAAAGGCTCGTACCATTCGCATTACAAGATAGGTGATCCTATCATGCAAGGGGTAGGGAGGTACCAGTCGGCTGTGTAGTAGCAAGCAGCGGTTGTTATGACGTAGGTCCCGCGGCGTCCCTCGCGGAGCAGCTGAAGCAGGTGCTGGCGGAGCGCGAGCGGCGGCTGACGGGCGAGACGCGAGAGACCCGCGACTCGTTGTCTCGCGACTCGCTGCCGCGAGAGGCGCGTGACCCCCGTGACTCCCGCCTCGCGCCCCCCTCGCCGCACCACCCCGACCCCGTACGCCTCACCGATGAGCTCGTCGACGAGATCCGCCAGGCCGTTAGCGAGGCCAACGCCCGAGGTTTGTCCTCTCCGCACGTCATGCGATCGGCCCCAACCTATTATAATTTACACAGCAACCGATTAAAGAATATATTAACGTGGATTTCGACCTGTCCTCCCATCCATCTCCGTCCATTGTTACTTACCTATAGATACACTGTTGAGGTGGCGGAATTTGTGTTCAGTATTTAAATGTTGCAATGTATGTTGGTGAATGGCTAATTTTGATGATAATATATTGCTAATGTCATATTCTAATTATTTTGAAGTTTGACATCACATAACCGTAAACAGCGCTGTTTCATTTCATTTTCGTATGCAAAGAATTACAAGTTATAGAAGTCGAACATGTTTACATAGTATTTCGCTGACAAGGTTTAAGTCTAGTAGAAAACAAAATAACAATTTAGAAAAGAGCTAGAGCATCAACAAAATGATGTTGACTGTGTGGATGTATTGTAGTGAAGAAAGCTCCGGCTTGTGTAGTCGGGGGTGAGGTGCCGTGGCAGCCGCTGAGCACCGCGGTGTCAGAGGCCAGCCTCTCGCCGTTGCCCGGGCCCGTCTCGCCGCATCCGCCCGCGCAGTGGAGCAAACAACAGGTATCTAATATAGTTGACTGTTCGAAAGACTTACTCATACGTCTTATTTTTTAGGAACATTAACAGCTATTATAAAGTTTAGAAAAGTCATGATTATTAATTATTAGAAATATCCACTTCCAAACTTCTCCCCACGCTGCACAACATGTATAGGTATAGTTCGTTTCAAACCATTTTTCATGAAAGGTAACAAACTGGTTTGGTTAAACTTATCAAGCAAAAACTCAATAAGTGGAACAAGTAATACTTTTACGTCTATTTTGAAGGTTTATTGCTATCTCACCACTTTAACAATATGTGTATGTTTGACACCTTAAAATGGTATTCGAATAATAGTAGTTCGAATAGATTCGAATAATAGTAGAAATATGGTTAGTCTATGGTTGCTTAGTGCTTTATGAAAAGAAATCATTCGGTTAAAATAATTCAGGTCAAATTTTAGTAATCGATTAGTAAATCGAAAATTTTATTAATAATGAAACTGATGATGAGAGATGAGGAGAAATGTTATCTAGATACACGTTTCTCCGTTTCTCGCTCGAGGTTACGCGATTGGTGCTTACCGCTGAGTGTATCGCCGACAGTGCAAGCTCTCAGACAAGTCTTTCATTTACATTACAATCCTTATACACAACCCCAGCATTCGGTTCCGTACGATAGTACACGGCAGGCAACGTTATTTTCATCTCTGAGCGCGTGCTTAGATTCCTTTTTTCTTGTATTAAGTGCCAGGTTTCATTTGTCAGATTTAGTAGACTATTAAAGCGTAGGTATTTTCGATTTTATATGAGAGTATCATCTGTTAAGTAATCTGTGGTATTATTTATAACAAGTAACTTAAGATTTAAAATTATGATTTCAGAAAGAACAACGGCGATCTCCCATTAAAATTTTTGTTGACCTAATTTTTTGCGTATGTACAGACATGCAAATGTCTAGGATTTAAAATCCTGAACATTGTTCTTGGATCTACTGTACTACAAAGTCTGGAAATAAAGTTATTCAGTTTAAAGTTTCGGAATCCTCAGCAAAATGTAGTCGCTACAGATTATGGAAAGGATTAAGAAAGTAACTAGACAACAAATGTTGGACTTTGTGTGCTGGTTTTTTCTATTTTGAAAGTGGTCACAGTAAGTTCGACATTTTGTTTATATCTGTTGACAAGTGTGAAACTTTTTTATGCACTCCAATTTCTATCACTTATCGTCGGACGGTGAATGTGTGGAGTTCACTACAACAACCCGTATAGATTATAATTCTCTAATCCTGTGTATCAAACTATCATTACTCAGTATGGAATAGCATGTTTTTTGTTAGTACTCTGAGAAATCGTAAAAAGCGAAATAGCAAAAACAACTGTTACGCCAACTAATTCAATTTGTTTAATTTTATTATTCAATTAATTCGTTGATTTGTAATTGTCGTACAATTGGCCATCACTAAACTATCTATGATCGGGTCATTGACCAGTTTGGTTACCTTTCTTGTAAAATGGCTTGAAACGAACTAGAAGTAAATGGAATACCAATAGTATGTTCACAATTTGTTATTGCAGGTGTGGCAGTGGGTGAGCGGGTTAGGTGAGGGGCTGGAGCGACACGCAAGTGCTTTTGCTGCTCGCGGCGTGGACGGCCCGCTGCTGCTAGCACTCACCTCCGCCGACTTGAAGTTGCTGGGGCTGGGTGGTGACGACCGCCGCCGCATGAAGCGTCGCCTCAAGGAGCTGCGCACCGCGCACGAGAAGCTCCTTAAGGCTCTCAAGAAGGCAGAGAAAAAGGCCAAAAAGAAATAATTTTGCCACCGCCGACACCGCGTGCCATCTGCGACGTGCTCTCGGTTCAGATGATGCCCGAGGCCGTCGCTCTCGAAACTCATTCTCGCGTTTGCCGAAGTCGAATCGATCGTGCTGGGTCCCTGCATAGAATGTTAGCAACCTTTTCTTTTTCCCTCAAATCTTTCACGTACTATCTATACTCCTACTGATGGACTTACCTGAGCGCTGAATCAACTCGTACTTAGGTAAACAAGTACCTGTAATTGAAATTAAGGCTGCTCTGACTTAGAATTTAAATCTATATGGGAGCCAATGACATGATTCTAAAAGTTGACACGTCTGTCTTTCCCTTTCCATCTTTCTAATTTTGTGTGTCAGCTCCATGGATACGCTGCCAATATAAAATGTTATGTAATTTATGTAATATTAGAACACCTGAAGTTAAAATACGTTACGAATGTGTTTTGAGTGAAGATTGATTCGACATTGGCGGTGGGTTAAAGCTATGTCCGATAGCGTAGCGAGTGCCATCTGACCTATAGCTTAGAGTTTAGTGACGTTAGTGCTGCTTCGAACGATGAAACGAATATAATTAATCGAAAATTAGGTGTAAGTGAGTATTGAAAAGGACTAGTAGAACTCAACTAGACTATTTATGCAGTATACAAAATCCATTAAACGCAGATATTCCGTTGGGACTGTACAATTTATATCGTTCCTGTATTTTGTATTTATTGTGTCAGGTTCTTCATATTTTAGGTATGAAGCAAAGAAATGTTGAAAAAACACTGGCTCAATCTAGTCATAAGATGAATTGTAAACTCGAAAGTCGTGAATTCTTGTAATTCGAAGGTTTTCCTTAGATTTTCACTTATTTAAGAAATAATGTATCCTTCGTAAAATCGCCCGCTACTTATTTATGACAAGTATGTATCGTGATAATTTATGTTAAGACTCATGCAATGCAAAACAATTTCTGTAGATTTTGGCATTTATTTATCGAGTATATTGCACAAAATGTACTTAGTAATATCGGCGACTATTTATGAATGTCGTTGATTTGTTAGTAAATGTATTTGAAATTATAGTAACACTTCATCAAGCATGTGATCTCATTTCATATAAGAGTACCAGGTTTGTTCTCCCATAATAATACAGTATTTTTTAGAAAAGTGTACTTGTAATAAAAGTAGATCTTTTTTGTATTATGATTATGAAATACAACTTTATTAATTTGTAAACACATTCCAACAACACTTTCTCTTCATGTGTTATTTCAGTGTGCGTTTTGATGTTTTAGCAACTATTTAGCTAGCTTTAGTTTTTCTTGGCGACAATGATTGTTTACTTTATCAATGTTATTCTGTTGTGTAATAGTTCGTGTGTTAGGTTCCACATTATCACCCATATAAATAGATAATCTCAAATGTATACCGAGAGGAGATTAGAAGTAACGTGTGTTTGAGATCACTCCCGTATGACTGAATGTACTCTGTACATTGAGAATATTTATTTCAATTAAGAATTAATTAACATTACTATAAGTAGTCCATTAACGATTGCCAAAATTGAACAGTACTTTTGTTTTAATATTGTTGAATTTTTAATTTAAATTTTTCTTAAATTATTTAAATATTTATTTTGGGACCAAATTAATTTATTATGAACTTACATTTTTTATTTATGTATTTTGTGGTGTGTGGTCAGGAGAAAGATTTTTTTATTTATAATTAAATTTTAATAAACAAACCAAAGTCTACATAACACTGATTTTTATTGACTCTGTCCTTTAATTGCACATCACAATAGAATGAATTTATACACTATTCTGTAAAATCATCATCATCATCGGCTTGTTTGTGTGCGCGACTGCCGCATCGCCACTCGCTATGCACGGACGCACACATTCGCATAATAATGAAAGGCGTGTTGGGACGACCAGTGATATGCAACCTGAATGCATCGCTAGATTGTGCGAATCAGTACTGTCGTACACGGGACGCGGCGTGCGCGCACGCATGCAAGTCGCGCTGCTACGTTTGTGTTCTCGAGAGGACTGCTAATCGCAATACAAGACAGCGTAGTCGGGTAATCAGCTTGGCTTATTCCTGCGTGACCATGGTAGAGTTTTTGAAATTTGCTAGCCAGATAAAAAGTCGTGATTTAGTCGGTTCTAGTCGCCAAATTGCTCTAATTTTTATGGATAGTCTCGCCATCTACCAATATTTGGTTTATGTTGGGTATAAATTATTCTTATGCGGGTGGACGTAAATAAACCAGATAGGCTCAACTCACACTGGCGCAGAGTCGAAGCGTCGCGTCGTGTCCTGTTTTTCAACTCCACCGCCAGGCGACGCGCGACGTCACTAGCATTAGAGCGCCGGAATCACAGTTTGGTCGACGTCTGACGCCTCACGGCACCCAAGTGACGCGCGAAGCCGCTCGAATGCTACCAAGCGTCGACGCGCGTCGCCGCTCGGTTCCATATATGCAAAACACAAATTTGTACTTAATAATTGGAAAATATAGATGAATATGTATGCTGTAGGCGAAAAACATGTGACGTTGAGCCTTACGTTACGAACTCGGTCGTTTCCATGTCGCTCTTCCTGTAATTCCCTAAATACCCATCAAGCGACGAGGATGGGATTTATTTACATCCACCTGCATATAATACAATAATTTATACCCAACAGTTTATTAGCGTTATCCAAGCGCTTGTTCCAGTTCAGCACGTTATTAAGTATTACCACATCCCGGACACTCCATACGCGACACGCGCGACTATCATCTTCTTTTAAATGTTATGGCTCCATCGAAATAATCAATGATTTTGCCAATGTCAAGTAAAAATAACTATGTACGGTAGTTTAATATTATTATAAAAATTATACAAAAAAAATGGCGATTGCGCCAATGTCCTGTGATATGCGTAAAATTGAAATAAGCGCGCGCAATTGGCTGTCACAATCAGATCTAATTTAGATAGCTTATAGGGCGCGCTTATTTCAATTTTATCCGCGCGTCGCGACTATCATTCGTAGCCATGCTACGGGGGCAGGTATCGTTTGTAATTTGTATAATGTGAGTATGTTGGTATAGTTGTCTGTTATCAACATTCAATATACACAATATAGCTATGTAATCTAAAGTAAGTGTTGTTTGATTTGGTGATGCTACTATGGATAATTAAATTTAATAATTAAATTTTAAGATACTTTTAACAGCCTGGACAACATGGTCAGAAAAATAATAATATAGCCAATACCTATTTACTATCTTAAGGTCCAGTGATTGTTTATAACAATAAAGAATTTGCATATGGCATCGAAATTCTTTGTAAAATTATACCTTATGTCTATGTAGCATTCAAATTTAAGAAGTTTATGCAATCGAGTTCTTAGGTTTTCGCGATTGTTACATATGGGAAATTAAACTATTTCCGGATTTAAAACGTCGGTTTGTTTGAAAATACAAATATACGCGATTTAAATACGAAAAAATAGTGTCATTTCCTAAGTTTATACAATTTAACATGTCGCTGATTGTACAAAAAATGAGAATATTTATACTTGACTTTATTTGATTCTAATTAGTAAAAAGTCAGAATAAAAATGAAACTATTTAATTCTTTTTATTTTTTTGTTTCTTATTTCTTTTTCTTTTTTTGGATTTTTTCATTACTGGAGGAGTACACTCTTCTTTCCCATCATCACTGTTGTAGCTAATAGTAACAAATGCTCCAGGTTTTCTTTTTAGTGGAGGTGATTCTTTCTCCACATCTTCATCTGATTCTACACTATTTGCATCATCAGATTCCCCATTCTCTACTGTCCCTTCTTCATCAATATGTTCTTCCTTCTTAACCAAGTGGTTCTGCCTATTCAGTGTCAAGCAGGTCACTCTGCAACCAGCATTAGTTGAGCATATTTCGTTTAACTTGGAACCTGCCACTAACCATACCTTCAGCTCTCCTGAACTTGATACTGTATATAAAGTGTTATTTTCAAAATACAGGGATTTAACTCGTTGCCTATGAGCTGCATACGTTTGAGCTTGAGTGTCAGATAAAGTCAAAGCGACAATGTTGCCATTTTCTAGTCCAACAATTAATATTTCGTCACTTATCCATTGTACTGATGTTGGTTTAGAATTGCATGTGATTCGCTTTTCCACTCCTGCTTTACTTATTGTCCAAACATCAACTGTTTGTTGTGAAACTAGAGAAAATCGATCTCCTCCAGGTGAGAACATGATTTCAGTAGGCATTGTTACACCTTTGCTAGCTAAGTTAATGGTGAATGCTGGACGACCTTTGATAAGATTCCAAGTCCTAAGTGTTTTATCACCTCCAATGCTCAGAGCTAGTTTGTCTGAAGGATGAACTGCAAGGGCTATAACTGGTTGACCTGCAATACCAATTTCAAGAATATAAAAAGACTTTTACGAATTACTTGTGTTATTAGTTCAACTACAATTAGAGAGTAGTCTATTCCAACCCAGGTTGTCAAAAATGTAAACAGGTCACTGACCTGTTCATAGATAGTTGAGTGATTTGCTTTGTCTAATTGAATTACAAGAAACAAGTTTTTTTTGGATTTCACTGCAGAATACTAACAAAAAGTATGTGATTTGATACTGACTGATAACGAATTAAGTATTATTGGACTTAGTGCCAGCCAGGGTTACACTTTTTTACAACAGAAGAAATTGCATGAAGTATTAGAATACTCAATAATTTTATTGCTCTCTATAATGTTACTTTTCCACTAATTGAATGATTGCTAAAGAATTTTAATCTAACCGGTTTGTTTACTTTCTTAATGGATTGAAATGCACTACATAATGTAACAATGAGGGTACAATTGTACAAAACCGACACACGAATTTACGGGGGGAGGGGGTGGAGTGAGCCCCTCCCCCACTATGTCGTACATACTTAAAAAATTAAAGTTATTTCAATCAAACATGCATACCTCCATGTGCTTTCTTCCACTTTTTCTCAATCTGCCAGTTGCCAGTTCTTGTAACAATGATTGATCCATCGTCACTCCCTGTTAAAAGGTGTGTACCGCTGTGAGTAAAGGCGACAGCGTTTATTGTGCCGTCATGATTCATAAGCACTGTGTGTTCCTTCCGAGTCTTCAAGTCAATCACCACAACTTTGTCGTCAGTTCCTCCTGATGCCATATATTTTCCAACAGCAGACACACATCGCACTGCCGCCGTGTGTGACTGAGTAGCGAAGGTTTGCTTTAATTTCTTGTCCTGAAAACGAAGGTTAACTATAAAACTATAAAAATAGCACGAGTTGTATTATGAGCTAGAATATAATTTACCGTATTTTCAGAATAGACAGAGTATCCAAGTAAAAATCCTTCGTATGTGCCTACTACTAGCTCATCCATTATTTTTATACAAAGATATTAAATCTAATATTCTAATTTATACACGTGCTGTAGCCGTAATCAAGCGAATAAACTGTCACTGTCACCCACTCTGTCAATTGTCAATGTCAATTTCCGTCATTATTTTTATTAATAATTTTGGCTTGGATACAAGTTCTTTGAGCCATGTCTTTGTTTAATTATGTTTCTGTAAATATGGCTGCCACAAAGAGAAAAGGCAATTTGAGGCGGCGTGCTTGGATTGACTCGGGATTCCTTAGAACGGGCTGATACGGGTATTTTAGTTAGAGATTCGTATAATTTCGCGTTTTAATCTTCAATTAATTCACAATAGCACTATCCTATTCCACTTTAAACTATATTTGACAAAATAATTGAAAGCCAAAATAAAAACGACCCTTCACTTTTTTCCTCCAAAATGCCCAGAGCGTGAAGTCCCGTCAGTCACGTCCACAGTATACTTCCTTCCTTTATTTTGGAATTTCTTTCACCCATTTGGTATATTCACAGGATCATGTCCACAGAACACTATACTCATCACGTCTGTCTATCTACGTGCTGTCTACTTACTGTTGGGTAATTTTCCAAAAAATTTCAAATTGTGGAATTATTCTCGGAAAATTTTGCAGAAAAATTGGAAACTTGATTTGCTATTATTTTCGATATTTTTATTGTTTAATGTTTCTGGACGATATTTACGAACGAAAGTGGATTGCCTGACAGACAGCGTCAAAAAGATAGAAGCTTCCATCAAACCGAAAGCATTTCATTTTGCACAATATTGGATGGAAAGATCTCAAATCAGTATTTTGTTGGTATCGTTATATTTTTATATTGTTAGCCAACACATATTTTCATTCTGGTGAGTTTGTGCCGTTTATAATTGATGCATTTAATGATGGAATGTGTTGCGCTATCGATCTTGCTCAGACGCTTTATTTGCTTTACTGTTTGTTTGTTTTGGGGCAGGATTCCCAAAAGAGGACATACTTGGACATCTACAAGATGGATTTAGCGGAGACGATGAAGAGTGTGTTGGCAAAGAGCACGGGCGGTTCGGGCAGCACGGCAAGCACGTCTAGCGCAGCGCCGCCACACGGCGGTGAAGGATACGTCACGGAAAAGCTGTACATGCTGTTACAGCTGTACCTACAGAATAAAGGATGGAGCAGTATAGAACTTCTCCAATGTTTCAGTGATCTCAAAGAATCGTCTATGCTTCCCAGTGCAGCTTATTTACAGTAAAAAAATTTATATTTTTTCTGAATATTGTTTCTCTAATTAGAATCTGGTTAGATTTTGATGAAAGGTACCATTGCCTTTGTGCTTTATACATAAGTCTGTTTCGCAATAAATAACAATTAATAAAATGCATAATAGTTGTAAATTTATATAAATAATTACAATGTTATATGGGTGCTCAATAAGTTTCTACTGGACAATTATTACAGAATGATGGCATCAAGAGTGGGCTTGGATACACAAGGTAGACTGATACTCCGTGAGAACGGCAAGATAATTCTCCCATATGAACACTTTGCTAATGCTGTGATGTTAAAACACATGAATGGTCCACATGGACTTCATCTTGGTTTGGAAGCTACAGTTAGAGCTGTAAGTTTGGTTTTTCTGTTTATTGACTTATGTTAGGTTGTTACTGTAAATGTTCAAAGGGAAGGCTTCTGTTCAGTAAACTGTTTTTAAGAATTATATTTAATAAGGTTACTCCCTTCCCTGCTTTAGTCTTGTCTTCTCTTCTTTTTTATTGGTCTCTATACATTATGCAATGTAAATAAAGTACATAAGGTTTACTAAACAAATTGTGAGCATTTGTTATTGTTACAGGTTGTAGAATCATATACAATAGGCAGAGAGCAATTTGGCATGGAGAAGGAATTTATAGTGGAAGTAGTACAGAACTGCCCAAATCCTGCATGTCGGTATTACAAAAACCAACTGGAGATGACGCAGAAGTCCATTCAACAGCATTTGTCACAGCAGCCTACCTATATCCCAGGTAAATTAAGTCATTGTCTTGCATTTACCATGACAGTGTAACATTTCATTTTGTGCTGAACCTGCTTAGGTATACTGCTGAATTAAAGGGTTGGGAAATTAAGTGACACTACAGTCTAGACATTGAATTACATTGAATGTCCTAGATCATAAGGATTTTTTTTTATACTGTGAATTTCTTTACCACTTATTATAAAGATTTTGTGTATCATGAAAAAGAAAATCAAAATTTCAGTATGTTGAAATGAAAGTGGCTCATGTCAAAATAACAATCTTTGAAGTGTAACTAATATAAACAAGTTGTTACATACAATTACTGTGCATCCTACAATTACTGTGCATCCTCCAATTCTATAATTTGTTTAAAAAATTCGCCCAATTGTGGGCAAATGGCAATCTTTCTAAAACTTTCAGAGAATCTTATTATTATGTAATTTTTAATAGACACAACGGGGGCAAATCTGTCAGACACTCAGGCTGTGGAGCGGTTGTTACGCAGCACAGCGCTGGCTCAGGATTACCAGCTGCCACTCGCGCCACACCTCGCCGCGCTTAGTGAGTTGCTCTGTAAATATTATTATTTTCTTTTTTGGTTTACTATGTTTTATATTCAATATATAATGATTGTTATTAGTATATGTTATGATAGCTATGGTTGGATGTAGTGATGGGCAGCCAGAAACTTTCCTAAATTGGAAACTTTCCAGTCTGAATGTTTCTTGAAATATTTCGGAAACATTCTCAAAACGCGAAATTTATGGAAATTTACATATTTGCTTTGCATTTTTACTATCGCATATTCAAGAAACATTTAAGAAAAGTTATAGTTCTATATCATGGTTGTAAAACCAAAATACTTTTTTTGAAGAAATCGGAATAAATAAGTAAATTTCCGTAACTTCTCTTAAATGTCCATAAATTGCATGGAAAGTTTCCTGGAAATTTCATACTCATCAAAAGAATGAATGAAATAAATGTACGTAATCCACTTAGATTTTGCCACTTTTAAACCGTATATGTATTAATAGTTAATATGTTGCAATTAGGGTATTAAATTTGGCATAGGAATCGTTTTCATGAACCTATTTAATTAAAAAATTTAAGAACGTTATTTGTTCTGATAATATTAGGGGTTAAAGTATGAAATTGCCGTTTTACTGCAATAGGTTCTTTGAATTTTCATAGAATCTTCATGGTTTGAGGTTTTCGAATGAAACTTTTTTCAAATGGTTTCTGTGATTTTTTTTTTAAATTTGAAACATTTGAATATCGACTTTCAATTGTTTTTGTTATTCAATTTAGACAAGAAAGATGGATACTGCGAAAATTCGAGTGATTTTTGAATACGAGTTCCGACGCGGAACTAACGCGGCAGAAACAGCCCGCAATATCAATGCTGCGTTTGGAGAGGGGTCTACTAATGAACGCACCGTGCGATTTTGGTTTAAACGCTTTCGTGATGGAAATTTCGACTTAAAGAACGAGCCACGAGGAAGACCGCATCGTTATTCACACAGGTGAATAACGATGAATTAAGAGAGATAGTGGAAGCCGATCCTAGTCAAACTACCCAGGAATTAGCTGCATGGTTTAACGTTACCTTACCCACAATATTGACGCACTTGCGTCAAATCAATAAAATAAAAAAATACGAAAAATGGGTGCCTCATGATTTGACTGATCTGCAGAAAGAAACGCGTGTTGAAACTTGTGTTGCCTTGTTGAACCGGTACAGAAATGAAGGAATATTGGATCGAATTGTAACATGTGATGAAAAGTGGATTCTTTATGATAACCGGAAAAGAAAAATGCAATGGCTGACCCCAGGTCAAATGCCACAACAGTGTCCTAAAGCAAAACTTACCAATAAAAAGGTAATGGTAACTGTTTGGTGGTCTCAGCATGGTGTTATTCACTATAGTTTTCTCCGATCTGGTCAAGCAATAACGGCAGATGTCTATTGTGCCGAACTCCGAACCATGTTGACAAAACTAGCAGTAAAACAGCCCCGACTCATGAATCGATCTTCACCATTATTGCTCCACGACAACGCGAGACCTCACACAGCACGAGAAACCATTTTGACCCTTCAGGAACTGCAGTTAGAAACCATTCGTCATCCTCCGTATTCACCAGACCTTGCTCCAACGGACTACCATTTTTTTCGTGATTTGGACAATTATCTACGTGACAAGAAGTTTTCTTCCCAGGAGGCAGTACAAAATGCTTTCACACAGTTTGTGCAGTCTAGATCGTCGGAGTTCTATCGCAAAGGCATTAATAACCCTCCCATTAGATGGCAGCAATGTATAGATAATAATGGCAACTATTTTGATTAAATAAATTTGTTAAAAATTTAAAAAATAAACAATTTAGATTTTCAGTACAAATCGGCAATTTCATACTTTAACCCCTATTATATTGTTTGAGAGATATAGAAATAATATTAAAAATAATGGTGGAATATTTCTTTGGGCAAACAAAATTGGGCCAGATGACCAACAAAATTTTGACCGTACCATCAACTTCTGCAGCAGTGGAACGATCGTTTTCAACATTTGGGAACATACACACCACTAAACGCAACAAATTAACAACAGACAGGGCTGGAAAACTAAGTTACGTTTCACACAATTGGCGACTTTTAAACGCTCCACATAAAACAGCGAAGATTTCAGATCGATGCTCAATTGACCACCTGAACGCTGACATTGATTTGCTAACAGAACCTTCATAAGGTAGAAATGAGGACACATTATCAGTAGCTTCCTGTACAGATACGACATCATGGAGCAGTGATGAGTTGCATACAGATTAGTATTAAGTTTTATATTTTATTTTGATTCTTAAGTTTTTTAATCCCAGTATTTTTCATAATTAAGAACCAATCTGTGATTTTGTTATTTGTTCTTGAGGTACCTATTTTAATTACAATTGTTGATGTTTGAGCACTGAATAATTTTACTATAATATATGTTGATTATTTTGTAAATTGTTATTGTTGATTATATTTTAAAACTTTATTGGTCTACAAAGTGCGACAAGCTTCTTACATACCTATTGTATAGCATTTTTTTTTTTATTATTCAATTTTTCAATTTCAATAATTAAAACAAAGGTTTTAAAAAACTTTGTTATGCATTATTTTGATCCCCACATTAAAATTATCTATAAAAATATAAAATAATGAATATGTTCTAAAAAATTTCCAAAAAGTTTCTGAAATATTTCGTGGAAAGTTTCTATGAAATATAAGGAAATTTAAGAAATTTTGCAGTATTTTCACGAAAATGGATTTCTGTGGTATTAATAAGAATTAAAATGTGTCAATCAACTTAACTTCAAAATATTTCTTCATATGAAAAAAAACGTTTTTGCACCAAAGTATTCAACTTTTTATGTAAATTTCGCATTTGCGAAACATTCTCGCAATGTTTCCGAGAATATTTCCATTTTCGGAAATATTCTCGGAAATTTACCAACCCTAGTTGGATGTCATGTGAGAATAAAACCAGTCTCAAAAAGCTCTAAATCTACAGCCAAGTGAAACCAGAGATTTTTAGTGTGAATGTTACAGCAGTCTTGACATTTCTTTTGATAGCATAAGAATAATTAAGAATAATTATGTAGGCACGAAGACACAACACATGATCTTAAAACTAAAATACAATGAGAGCAATGAATTAACTACACTTCAATAGAAAGTTAGGTTTAGATTTTTGTGTTCCATCCAATTGTATATAAATTATATATATAATCCTTTGGATAGAGTTTAAATAACACATCCAACGGCACATCTACATATTACTCTATATATATACTCTTATAAGTTGATATTATTACAAAGCAAGCCTTGCTCTTCAGCTGGTCTGACCTCGGACAAGAGCGACCGACGCGCACAGGAGAAACTTTCACACCAACAGCTCCTACTACAACATCAGGGTCGTTCTCTCTCCCACCAATCGACCCTCGACAAGTACGCCCACTCGCAGCGTACCTCTAGTTCAGCGCAATCAACTCTCGACACAAAGACTTCCAAACATCACTATACTGATGAACATAAGTTGACTGATTTTCTAAGGTATGTAATATGCTTAGGATGTGTGTTGCCTTTTTTATAGACTACTGGCAAACTTATTCGAAATATATGTGTTTCAATTGGATGATAATGTTGATTTCAACTTGAATATGGAACACTGTGGCACTAAATATCTAGCCTTAAACTTAGGTTTTATAATTGCCGACGAGTCCTGAGCAAATGGATTAATTTCTAAATTGAACATGAATCTAGCCACGTGGCCCATTAGCGTGTAACCGGGAGGTGTTCGAATAGTTATTGTGTATGTTCTGCAATCTGCATGTTTAGAGCTAACCTGGAGAGTCTGGAGTCTCTATCCGGCGGGGCTAGTGTAAGCGCCACCGCGGCTAGTGGGGGTACATCGGGTGGAAGCGGTAGTGGGGGCGCAGGCGGACAGGAACGTGTAGTACGTGCCTTCGCGGAGTTGGCGCGTAACCTGCAGCGCATGCGTCCTTGCGTACGCCCCGCCATGTGCAAGCCCTACGGAAAGCAAAGCGAGCAGCTGCAAAAGAGTTAGTCACTATTTTTTACTATATTTTTAGCCAACCATGATTTCGTTCGATAAGACGACAAGTTAAACAAAGCAGAATTAAACAAACAATTCAAAACCGTACAGCTATCAAACGTGATTGATCATATCAGTTTGAATGGATTTTAGTAGCAGTAGAGCTTCTTGTGAAAGAGTTCGTCTCATATATTTTTGCCGCCGATAATGCGTTTCTTTCTGAGTTCCGGTCTGGAAGGGTAAGGGGGTGCTGTTGAAATTACAGGCACATGGGATTTGTCAACTTATGTCTCAGCATGACGGGCGCAGGGGCAGTGCCCCTAAGACTTTTGCTATTTAATGCTCCAAGTGACACTGCAACTGTTATGGATAGGCGCGTCGTTTACCACGAAACGCACGACTTGTTCGTCCCGTCACTTGGTATTATAAAATAAAAACTTTCATATTTATTACAAATTTTACAAGAGAATTTATGATTTTTGTATTTTAATATTATAAATAACGCACTTCAGTTCTTCTGGACACAATCCAGCTGGTACAGTCGCTGCGTAGCTATCTGCCGCCGCCACACATTCAAGTCACTTCGTGGAAGAACGATGACAAGATTCGGTAAGTGACCCATTCCTACTATTAATAACGTCTATTTACCATTTCATTTGTCGGAACCTGTTGATATCATGAAAATAATCTAACCGCCTTAACTCAAAAGTGTGCCTGGTGTTCAAAGTTAAATATCAAACCCATTTTTAAAATCCATTCCATGTTCTAAAAATTCCAGTTTTGGTATTACATGCTTACGCTGCTAACGGACTGACTGCATGTTTGTAGTTAATCATAAAGCCGTAATCAACTTCTCCACTGCAAGTTGAAAACGACTGCATGCAATAATGCTCAGGCCACACAGACGCGACTGACGCGCGGACGCCTCACCTTTAAACTCGTACATTACAAAAATTCCCGCGCCCGGAACGCTTCCACGGCCGCCTCTGTGTGGCCAGAGCATAACTGCATGCAGTCGATCTCGACTTCATGGAGTCGTTTCGACTTCGTGCAGTTAATGCGTGAAGTCGTTATCCAAGATCACGACTGCATGATGTTGATAACGAGCCAATCTGTTAGCAGCTTTAGTGTCTGGCTGACTTTTAGATGGGCGCCTGTACTGAATTGATCCTTGATGAATGAATTTTTCTTTGTGTTTGATCTTTGTTTTTAATTATAACCAATGGTTGGAAAAAGTTGTTCCAAATATATAGATACATGTATAGAAAAAGCTACCAGGAGCGACATAGACTTAAAACCACCAAATATTAATTAATTACTTTTTCGAATTCCGGATATCCGGAAATGGTTTTACTACATCGTAGGACAAACTGACGTAGAAAGTCGAGGTTGTAAGTAATTCTAATGTGCTATGTAAAAAATGTGGTAAATAACTGACAGCCTTGCTGCCGTTCCGTCAATGTGATCGTCAATATGCGGGTCGTGGTGCGGTATCAAAAGCTAGGGAAGTGCGGAGGGTGAACATTTACCAGTAAAATTTCAGCCGCTGCTTGCTCTTTGCGGAAGAGAGCGAATCGATGCATCCGCCAAGGCGGCAATCAATTCGAGCACATATTATCATAGATTTTTTTATGTTATTTTGCTTTTCATTGTTGTTTTTATTTTTAAATACATTATACGTATACAGTTTGTTAATTTCCTTCACTATCTAGAATAACTGATGACTAAGATATGATCCTACAAAATGTATGGTAAAAAGTTTTTTTTGCGATTTCTGGCATTTCGAGTACTCTTACCACAGTTGGTCTCATACAGACTATTGATCCTTACCAGAGACCGGATCGAATGACATAAAAAAAAGTTTTGTATAAATTGCCTTTTATCTTGCTGACTGTACCATTTTTTCAAAATCTATAAATGCCAATCAATATATCTTCAAAATTCATGGATAGTCTTTTAAAACCGTTTTCCTGCAACTACAACGATTAAGGTAGCCGGCCTTGCTGCCCCGTCTCAAATTAACACCCTGTATATGTAGAACACCTTTTTACGACCATTGATTATAACAAACTAGTTGAGTAATTGCAAAAAAATAGTTGAATGTCATGGTAGTAAAACATCATAATATTATATGCGCATATTTTTGCAACAGTTCAAACAACATGGATGAGCTGGAGAACCGCAAGATAGTGAGTGGGAACTAGCCCCTGGATGTTCTCGCCGTCGACAGCTAAACGGCGCTACTACTCTCGTTTGCAAGTACACAATTTATACGACCATTATTATTGACGTTAACATGGATTTTAAAATAATTTTTGTTGCACAACGAAAAAGGGAGCTCTGCTTCCCACGTTATATTTCGGCAGGGCCGAACTTTAACCATATACAGGTGTAGCAATAAGTTCCGATCACATTATACTACAACAAACAAGCAAAAATTAAGCATAATTCATCAATATAACATAACATTTTTGATTTCCCACACAAATGGCAGTGCAATTTTATTTTCCTAAATTTGTTTCTTATATAAAGAATACAACGTACAAGACAGCTGAAGTATGGCCGGGTTTTTTGTTACACCTGTGTATAAGATCTTTCACGAAGCTTTAAATAATATTCAGAATACCAGTGAACGAGAGTACTACGGTACTAATTTTTATAGTCCAAGCTTCGGAGGTGTTAGAGATAAGTTGACATACATTGTTGACTTAGTCTAATATGTTATATGAGCATGACATCATAATTTTGTCTATGATGAGGTAATAAAAATCTTAAAGATAAAATCTTAATGGTTATATACATATAAAGTAAAAATTCATGTAAGTTATATTATATTTGAATTATCGGATGTTTTTCTTGAAAACATGTACATGTCAGCACATCGTAACCGTATAATTAATTAAAAATGAATCTTAATGGTTTGGATCTAATGGAGCATTTACACCAGGTTGACAGGGATTTTGAATGAGAGGACAATAAATTTTTTACATTTTGAAAATTATGAGTTATGTACATATTTTGCCAGAAAGCAAAAAATAAGAGGGGGAGCTTTGATTTTACTTCAGAAGGGTAGGAAAGTTGAAATAATTGACTGTAAAAGATTTAGTAGAGTTGACTGTTTTGAAGTATGTGGAGTGAAAGACTTGATCTCTAATATTCTTATTTTTTGTTGTTACCAAAATAATGATTACTTTGACATATTTGTAGAAAGACTTGAATTGTTGTTGCAGCATTGTTCTAACAAAAAAGTTATAATATGTGGTGATTTTAATGTCAACATGCTTGACAACAAAGACGAGAAACATAAAAGATATTTTTGCAATTTACTTAAGAGTTACAACTTTAGACATCTTGTGAATTCGGTTACATTCCAGCGCAATGAAACGCAGTCATCCATTGATAATATTTTAACAAATATGCAGCTAAGTGAAATTTTTAGAGTTGAGGTTGACCATAACGGGCACTCAGACGGACATGCTGCCTTATTGACTTCAATTCTAATGGAGAAAAAAAATGGGAAAAAATATTTAGAGCCAGCTATGGTTGTTAAAAGAAGAAAGTTCAATAAAAGGAACAAAGAAAATTTTCGAAATAGAATATTAGAAGAGAATTGGTATACACATGGTGTAAACTCGTTTTTGCAGGCATTTACTGGAATCTTTTGTAACAGTTTTAAAAAAACTAAGAAAAAACTTAACCTCTACAAACATAATAAAATAGGATGGCTGACAAAAGGTATTAAAATATCAAGCAAAATGAAGAGGTTTTTAGGTGGCAATACAATTAAAAATCACGAGTCTGTAACGAACTATAGGCATAGATATTTAAGTATTTACAGAAAAGTTTTACGATGGGCTCGGCGTTTCTCAGTACAATCCGAAATAAATATGAATGTAAATTGTTCTAAAGGCATATGGCATACAGTAAACAAGCACACTAACAGAAATAAAAAAACAGTCCCAGAAAACTTTGTACTTAAAATAGATAATAAAATTATTCAAGACTCAAAAGAGATTGCTATGATCTTTAGTGACAATTTTGATCATGGGAAAAATTCAGTTCAGTCCAAATTAGATACTGCCCTAACAATATTACATGACAGCACAAGACGCGTGGAATACAATATGGAGTCCTGCATGACTGACGGTAGTGAAGTGCATAGAATAGTCAACAAAATGAAAGCAAAAAATTCGAGCGGCTATGATGAAATTCCCATAACCCTAATTAAAGAACATATTGATCTTCTTGCGGAACCATTAGCATACTTTTATAACTTATGCTTGAAGGAAAGTGTTTTTCCTGAACAGTTAAAGTTAGCTAAAATAATTCCTGTGCATAAAAAAGGCCCAAAAACGGATCCTAAGAATTTTAGACCTATCTCTCTTCTTCCAACTCTTTCCAAAATATTTGAAAAGATAATCAAAGCTCGGCTAGTTTCACATTTTACTCGATACTCAGTACTACACCCTAGACAATTTGGATATCGAGATGGTATCGGGGCTAGTGACGCTATAGACACTTTAATTAGTGATATAATGAGAGAAATCAACAGGAAGCAGAAAGTAGCCGGTCTTTTTCTTGATTTAAGTGCAGCTTTTGACTCAGTGAATCACGACTTATTAATCGCTAAATTGGAGCATTATGGCGTCAGAAATAATAATCTTGAACTTTTGAAATCTTATTTAGGCAACCGAAAACAATTTGTAGAGATAAAAGACGTTACTGCTGATGGTAATCAACTAGTGCAAACATCAAAAATTGTAAAAGTGACGAGGGGAGTCCCACAGGGATCAGTATTAGGACCAATATTTTTTATCATATTTATAAATGACCTTATAAACTACATATATAACTTTGACGCTAGTATAAGACTATTTATAATTAATTTTGCTGACGATACTAATGCAATTATATCCTGCAAGGATAACAGCCAATTGAATCACCACGTAAATAACACACTTAATGCTTTTGACAACTGGTTCAGAGCTAATGTATTACAAATTAATCCATCAAAAACGAATATTGTATTATTTAAAACCACCGCACGAAACAGGGATACCTTGGATGTTCAGTTGAATGGTAGACATATAGAAATTAAAGATGTAGTAAAGTTTCTCGGGATTCATATTGATAACGCTTTAAATTGGAAACATGAGCTCATATCGTTGGAGAATTCTATCAGTTCTGCCTGTTATGCCTTGCGTAGTTTGAGAGAAGTGCTTACTAGAGAACAATTAAAGTCGGTCTATCATGCTTTGATTGAATCAAAAATTCGTTATAGCATTGCATTATGGGGTAACAGTTACAAATACAATGCAGAGGGCGCTTTTGCTTTGCAAAAAAGGGCTATTCGCACTATGGTACGAATTCCCCCTTGGGAGTCATGTCAGCAACATTTCAGGAGTTTGGGTATACTTACTGTACCTAGCTTATACATCATGGTGTTACTAACGGGACTTTTAAAAAGGAGAATGAACTTTGAATCAAATGTAGAGCAAAGTGAACGAGAAACTACTAGGAGGAAAGATTTGAAACATATTATTGATCCCAAATTAAATATTGTGACGCACTGCCCCCAGTATCAGTCTGTGAAATTGTTTAATAAATTACCCGTGGACCTTAAAATAATGAATGACATAAATATTTTTAAACAAAAATTGAGATCTTTATTATTGGAAAAATGCTGCTACTCAATTCAAGAATTTTAGAATTTTAAGTTTTAAATTAATTAACATTGCTGTAAATTATTATTATTATTTTTATTGTTATGACATTGTAAATTGCTTAATTAATTCATTATCTACTTATAAGTTGACATTCAGACACAATTTGTATATTGTTCTATGAATAAATGAATATTAGACCTTCGCCTGGTGTAAATACTGAGTCGACTGACGACCATAGTTTGCAGCCTAAGTCGAAGGAAGCCACAAGGTGTAAACGCAAGTGACAGTCGTTCGCCTGAACAGGAATCGCCATAAAGACTTTGTAATAGACATGGGGAAAAGCGTCACATTTCTACCACCAGTTATAAAAAAATCACAGTGACAAATCACCGTGATTTTGTCCCACCTGTGACTTACATCGCGACATACGGTTTTGGCAAGCGATGATGTAACGTTTAATTTCATTTGGAAAATTGACCCGCTATAACATTCACAGTTTTATAGGCTTGTCGCATTATTCGTTAATAAGACCATATATCATTTGTATTAACAATATTTATACGGTATTTACACTGATCTAATTATTTCTTAGTTCATAATTAGAATTTAAAAATAAAAGCGAACTACAATGAGTAGCGCAGTCGCCAGCCGTTGATCGCGCATGATTTTGTTTGCAAAATACGTCGTATGAGTTTGTCGTTATGTGAGTGACGGAGACAGTTAGTGGAATGGAGGAACAACCTGTGTGATTTTGGAACGTTGTACTTTCGTAAAAAGTCACGGTGATATTGTGTGACGGCTGATCACTGTGATTTTTTTCATCGTGACGTTATTTATCACCCACCTCTACTTTGTAAGCAAAGGCGGCAGACGCTATGGTAGAGACGGCGAGTCGACTGCGTCGTCTTCGTAAGGCGATGTAGCCAAAGGTGACGGAGGCCGGGTGTAAATGCGCCATAAGGTTTATATTTGAAGTGATGTTTCACCGAATTATAGAGTTTCTCAACACCCTTAAACTTGAATGACTCTGAAGCTTGGATTTAGAAAGTAGTTCTGTACATTGTTGTAAGGATATATTCTAGTGTACCTTCTAAGACTACATATTGCGTGTCTTTATATTTTCACTTCGTATTCGTTTAGCACAAATATTGGTTATTATAAGGCATATCTTAAGTTGACATCTTTCTTATTTTGCTTCGTTCTTGTTAGTGTTTACACAAGTTGTCTTTTGAGTCTTTTCTTGCGTCTGTTACAAAATATTATGTTCGCTATTTTATTGCTTTGAATGTTATCGTATAGTTTTAAGTGATCTTTTTAAAATTCGTCCTTAGGGAGTTTCTCCACTGCTTTGGCAACAATCGGAGTAGTGGAGAATCGCTTCAATGATAAGTTTAATCTCAGTTTATTGTCTAAGTGCATTATTTACACTGTGATAGAGGTGTAATAGGAGTAGCCTGAGCGAAGTCTTGACATGAATATAATGCTACAATATAAATTGTATAAAATATTAATTAGTCAAATCGCGGTACGTACAGCTCGCATCGTCATTCGTGTTAGAATACGGGACAAACCCAAGATGGGCCTATCAGACTTTTAATCTATGAGGAAAAGTAAATAACAAGTGCAATGAGTACATCATTTAAATAATTACTGAGGCCTATCATTGATAAAGACATAGAGTAAAAAATTCGAAAGAGGTACTTAACCATTACCGAGAGACGTCAAATAAACGAAATCCTATTGGTTGTTAAACTCATCTCTCTTTTCCTCGGACTAAATCCCATCTGGATTTGTTCTGAAGTTTTAAGGCTATACATGCGCAAGCACATGCCTTTTGGCGTTGAAAATTAATTTGACCTGGGCGACGTATGATCGCGTTAAGGATAAGGTTTGATCGCCATGTCTTTTCTAGCGTGATTGGGAGGTTAGTATTAAAGACTGCAATTTTTCACGTCTTAGCTAATGCCTGTGAGTGTATAAAATTAGGTTCGGTAAGTAATACTGTGGTGTGATAATTGCGAACTGAGAATGTTGTGTCATAAAGATATAAAGATCTGAAGTAACATTTGAACGGTAGCTTATGTTAGTAAAACATGCTGCCGTTTAAAATATGCGACTATTGTCGATGTATTTTGCATTGTTTGTAAATTGTACGTACACATACTTCCAGTTTAAACTAGTATTTATATGAAAAAGAAGTGCGGTGTCTAACAATACATATTCTCAGTGCAAAATATTCTAAAAGAGACTT